AATTAAAGTGGGACTTACCACATTAACTGGAACCCCACAGGCATGCCCTAAGGACCACCTACTAGGTGAGCCTGCATTCTGTCCAGGTGACAATTAGCAACAATAAGCATAGTGAACAGCCTACTGAAAAGATGACACCCATCCCGGTGGGTGTCATTAACCACGGTGTGAAGTCCTCTGTGTGAAGAACTGTTTGTCCCTCCCTCAAAACACAGCATGTCTTCCTCCTTGTGTGGTGGTTTAAATAGGAACAGCCCTCATAGGCTCATAGATTTGAATGCTTGGTCATTATGGAGTGGTGCTACTTGAGAAGGATTAGGTGTGGCCTTGTTGGAGGAAGTGTGTCACTGGGGGGGTGGGCTTTGGGGTTTCAAATGCTCAAGCCAAGCCCACTGTCCCTCTCTCCCTGTTGCCTTTGGATCAGGATGTGGAACTCTCAAGCTACTTCTCCAGCACCATGTCTGGCTGTATACTGTGATGACAATTCACTAAACCCCTGAAATGTAAGCCAGCCCCAATGAAATGTTTTCCTTTGTGAGAGTTGCCGTGGTCATGGTGTCTCTTCACAGCTATAGAACTTTGAGTAAGACAGCAGTTGTGGATGTGTCCTTATGCTCTAGCCTTCTGGACCCTACCCTGATCAGTCCTTATCAACTGTTACATGTGCCTCCTCAACCAACTCCAATGTACAGACAAGGAGACAGAACCCCAAGAGGTCCACAACCTAGCTGAAGAGTGACAGAGTGGGGCTCCCCAGGCATGATCTCCATGCTCCCCACTGTCTCTCTCTGGACCTGAAGGGTTATAGTTAAGGTGTCCTGGGACATGTGTGGGCCTCAGATATTCTGGATACCCAGCGCTGCCGGCTGGTTGTCAGCACCTCCCCTTTGTCCACACCAGTGGTCTCCTAGAGCATCAGGTCTGGAGAGACTCCATCTTGTACTTATAAACCAGACCACAAACTGGCATTCTGGCTTGTTGGAGAGACTGACTCAGCCTTTCATAGCAGAAAAGGTGAATATAATTTAAGAACTAACCACCATGGGCTGTGGAGGAGGCTCTGTTAGTAAAGTGCTTTCTATGCAACTCAAGGACCCGAGTTGAAGCCCCAGTACCCATGTAAAATGCTCAAGATCCCAGTTCTGGGGAAGTGGAGGTAGGGGCTACACTACTCAGCAAATTCCAGGCCTGAGAGAGACCTTGCTTCAAACTAGGTAGACAGCGTCTTAAGAGTGACACTTAAGCGTTCCCTCTGGCCTCCACACACATGCCCATGCACACACAAGCACACTCCCATACCAACACAACCACTGACCCAAACCCAAAGTGCCCTTAGAGCTCTAAAGCAAAACCCAAGACAAACAGCAACAAAACCCAGAAAGTCCAGGTCCCTTCCCATTAAGCTACTGCTTAAGGCACAACAGGAAGCTGAGAGCACATACCTTCGAGGTGTGGAGAGCCAGGCCTGCACAGAGCTGCAAGGGCTGTACCCCCTTCACACATACCCCCCCCCCAGGACAGACCAGCAAATACAAGATCAAGTCGGAAGCAGGGCCTGAGGGATGCAGCTTGCTGCCTCAGGCCTGCCCCACCCATCCTGGTCAGCATCTGCCAGCTCAGTAGTTTACTTCATCAATACATCTGAGACTGAGAGAATCCTCTGTGCTTATCTGCTGCCTGAACCCATTCCCCCAAAGAAGCCACAGCAAGAGAACAACAGCCCAGATGTTGCTACACAACAGGGTGGAGGCAGGAAAGGGAGAAGTGACTCCTGGTCAAACTGCTTTCTTTGTTCCCACATGGTAGATCTATTGACTTGGCTATAGTTTGTTTTCCCCACAGAACATAACTGCCATTGACCATGTCAGGGTCATGTTGTTCACTGCTTTGTCTCCAGGGCGTTGAAGAAGTCAACGGAGATGCTAGGCAGTCAAAGTAAAAAGGAGAGACATCAGCTACAAGATGCAGTATCCATCCAGACCAAAGCTCTAAGAAAGAGTCAAGCCTTTTCTGTTCTCCACTGACTCCTCTCCTTTCTACACATCTCAACTTGTGTACAACTGGCCAGGAGGTTCTACCGTTCTCCTAAGCCCACAATGCACTGAAATTTAGAAGGGCCCAGTTCTCACTTCCTTTGGCAAAAAGTGTTAAAAAGGCTGGAAAGTTGGGAATTGTCCTGGTCCCTCTACACCGCATTTCTCCAGGAACCATTCACACAGAGGCACTGGAGGCCAATTGAATGAGGATTACATTGCCTTTCAGCTACACACAGCCTGAGGCCTGGAACATGGGTGATTGACATGTCCTCTGTACCTCAATGGGTCAGACAGGTGATGAGATGGTGCCATTACATGAGTGGGGTGTGAGGCATTGATGTGGGCCCAGAACAGTGGCCCCAGATGAAGAGGGGTTGGGCACAGGAGGCAGCATCCAAAGTTGCAGCTGGGGCTTGTGGGCTGGTGAGGAGTGAAGTCTCAGGGCTGGCAGGGCTCCTGGAAGCTGCAGAGTGGGAATAATGTGAAGACAGCATCCCTCGTTCTGAGCTGGATCAGGTGCAATTCCTCCAAGATAGACAACCTTCATGGGTCATGGTCACATTCTTCTCTGTGACAATCAGGAGCCAGCCTGTAGATGCAGGAAGACGGTTCCTATATAAAATCTATTCAGTAGAACCTTTGCTTCACGGCTCACTGCACCAGAAATGGGTCCCCTTCTAGCCCAATGGCAGGGTTGGCTGCTTTCTGGTGTGAAGTACCAAGGTGGGGTCCCAAACTGCTTCAGAGCTGTTTGACCTTGCTTGGGCATGTCCTGAACACTAACTACTCAGGATGCCACCAAGCATGCAATTGCAGAGGGGTCTGTAGTTAAAGAAGTTAGAGAAATGCTGCCCTCTCTGAGACTCTGTGCACTCAGGCATAAATAAAACTCGAAAGCCTTGCAAAGAACACTTTGTTTCACCCACAACTGCCTGAATATCATTAACAAAGCAGCACATTTTTAATATATACCATATCACATCTGTGGAGATCTCTAGAATGCGCTCATCTCCATTCCACAGGGCAGATTTACACACTAAGGGAAGTGAAGGATATAGGCAAGCCAAACTTCAAAACAAAGCCAAACAGGGAAAGTTGAAAGTGAGCAACTTACTAAAATTAATTTCTCAGAAATGCCAGAAAACATTTGGAGATGTGACTAGCCCCACCTCAGCAGCTCACAAGTCCTTAGCTAGATTCTGCTCCTTACATGCCAAGCATCACCATTCCCAACTTCCGCCACGAAAAGTTGAGACAGTTACCAGACCTAGAATACCCACTGTGGGCATGCGAGAATGCTGTAGTGGGCATACCGTGCTTTTGCTGTGAGGTGCGTGCGTGCATGTAGTCTGCACTTTGGATCTGAAGCCAGCATTGCTCTCTAAGTGGAAGAGAACACTATCTACACTCCGCTCCCATCTGTTGACCAACCTGTGCCCCTTCTGCTTGCATTACTTAGCTCTTGGGCAGAATCCTTGACAGATTTACTTTGCTCAGGTTCAGGTGACAGCCAACACTTAGCACAATCTCAAGCTCACTGTTCCCTTCTCCATGCGTCATCAGTCCATCTGGGAGGGACTGTACTATTAACAGGCCTCTGGGAGGGACTTACAGACAAATCAAGCCTGATGTCCTGGCTTTCATAGAACCCCTTTACCCCACCCTGCCCCAATGGGCTCCCTGAAGCTGACTTTATGGTTATACACTTTGGCACAGGCCTAAACCTAGTACTTCTCTCTACATCTTACTCATGGCAGGCCCACGAGCCCTTAGCTGAAGTTCTTGAGGCCAATGCAGGCTCCACTGAAGGATCAAAGTTTACTCAGCTCAGAGAATTCCCATGTATCACATAGAGCCCATTACAGTCCCCCTGCAGGTGGGAGAAGCCTATAGATGCTCACATTGGTGGGATGGAAGACACACAAGTTTGTCACATTTCTTACTAATTCTATATGCTTTCCAGACTTGAGAATTCAGAACCTGGATTCATGCATATCCATGTGCTCAAGAGAATTATGGCTTCCTTACGATCAGCAAGAACCAGGTACAACACAAAGATCTGCCAAGGAGCAGCTACCAAGGAACCTTTCTAACATGCTTATGACATTAACTTCCCAAGGTAGGTGGCTCTCTAGGTGTGTACACACACACACACACACACACACACACACACACTGTACACATAAGTGATTACAGGTTGACAACACTATGAATTACAAGGAAACAATAATAAGCAGGCAACCCTGACAGACTATTCTGAAATCTGCTAAGGTTTTATTAAAAAGGAATGTGTGAGTGTGTACTTAGAATGCTACCCTGTAAAATGGTAAGGGCATGCTAACTGCTGGCAAAACATTCTTAAAAACTACATCTTGCCAGGCGGTGGCGGCGCACGCCTTTAATCCCAGCATTCGGGAGGCAGAGGTAGGCGGATCTCTGTGAGTTCGAGGCTGGGCTGGACCGATAGCCTCCAAAACAATACAGAGAAACCCTGTCTCGTAAAAAACAAAACAAAACAAAACAAAAAACTACATCTTACTACATCTCCTCCCAACCTGACGACCCCTCTTCATGTTACCAACTTTCAAAAATGTTAAAAGTTTAAACAAATTAAAATCTTCACTTAACCAGCAATGCTGGAAATGTGTTCTAAGATCTGGAAGTGAACGTACTGTCCACTTAGTTTCAAAATAACCCATTTCAGTAAGGAGCATGTCAAATATGTGAGAAAATCCAGGGGTTGGGACACATCAGTCAGCAAAGCACACCGTATGATACAGGTCTTTAAAAAAGACAACTGTGCCATTTCTCAGAACATGAAGCAAAACTTGAACACTTAAAATACACAGCTCACAAGTGTCCCTATGTGATGAAAACCTTCCAAGACCACTACAGCTACCACAGCTTACCTGTTCATAGTGCATTGAGTCACAACATTAAAACAAAAAGAAAAAAGACACAAAGTGAACAGACCATAACTTTATTGGCTACAATTATTAAAAAGAAAAACTAAACAAACAAACAACTAAAGGTAACTGTGATCCATGAGTGCTGACCGCAGATCTGCAGTGACAGCCATGTGCACGAACTACGTTTCTTTAAAAATCAGCTGCAGCATGTGATGGCCATTGGCTACTGTCAGCGGAACCGCCAGGCTGACTTCGCCTTAGTCATTTCCCTTTATTTACAGCAAAGGCAGATGTGTTCTTCCCAGCCACCTCTGCACTTCTGCTACAGAACCAGCGGCTGAGGTGAATTCTGGGGGCATCTGTAACATTTAAACTGTCCGTGGTTGTTCTTCAAAGAAAAATGGACAAGAAAAAAGTAAAATGAGTAAAATAATATATGCAAGTTAGTTTGAGGTGTTCATTTTCCCTGCTAGTGGACAGCACACGGTCTCCATGCCACACACGACTTTTACAATCATTTTAACTATCCTTGGTCTTAAAACATATCTTTAAAATGTCTCATGTACAATATAAAATACAAAATTTATTGAGAAATAATTAAATTCCAGAAGAGTAATCAGCAGGTGGGAACTATAGGTTCTTAGAAGCTGTTAAATCAAGCACAGAGGCAGCACACAGAACCTGTGTGCCCCTGCAGACAAGAATCAGTTAAGGACGAGAATGCAGGCTCAGCTCAGGTCCATCCGTGAAATAAAAGGTGCAAGGCCTCGGTTTGCTAATGTAAGTTTGTGGAAGGATTAGATGCCTTCACTGAGCGAGGATTCGTTTTAAATCAACAGGCCCCTACAAGCACACCGGGTGGTTGTGGGGTTTTCACTGTTTTCGGTGCTCTGCAGCCACTGTCTGGTGGTGAGTGACTGCACACAGGAACTCAACAGCGGAACAAAGCAGCCTCAAAGCCCCTGCTCATCAGACAGCACGTCTGAATCTTTCCGAGGATGGGCTACTGACAAGAAAGTAAAACATCAGTATTTTAAAGGATAACTATAGGAGTGTTAGACAGAGGTCATTTGAAATTTAATCATTTCACATAATACAAACAAACAAACAAAAAAGAAATGTAACCAAACATTTTAAAAGCATTAATTAAGTGTTCAGTCAACAAATTTCTGCCATGCTTTCACTTTACAAATAGAAAAAAAATGCCACAGACAAAATAATAGTTAAGTTATGCAAGTGTGTGACGAAGGACAGGCATCACAGTATCTTCTCAAATTTGGAAGTCAGAATTGCAGCAAGGACCAACCATGTCCCCTCCTCTGGATTACGCAGGAGTTCCTGGAAACCAGGTAGAGCACACGAAGCACTGCCCTTGCATGTGCAGCATGCACAGGACAGAGGACAGAGCCACACATGCAGCATGGCTGGGACTGCAAAAGTGGGCCACAGAGGACATCCCAACGCTGCAGCACCCCGGCGAGCGCCCGTGCCTTTGCAGCTGCTTCCTCCAGTAAACCTCACCAGTCTACAGGCGCCGGCCATCTTCTCTACCTTCCACTACACTGGCAGAGGAGGCACAAAGTCACCGAGTGAGGTGACAGAGCAACTTTTCTCTGAAATGCAAAGCCCTGCAGCCAGTGGGAGCTGGGGAAACTGCACAACACTGAAGCATTCCTGATCATCGTGTGTCTAACTTATGCTTTTATTTTTCCAACTTGGTCTCTGGGTGAATCACAGAATGCTTCAAACTGTGAGTCAAATTATCAGGTACTTTCATCCAACAAGAAAGAAAAAAAAAAACAAAAAAAAACACCCGAAAACAGCCCAAGCTTGCTGTGGATATAACATTCTGAATAATGGCAGGAAATCTGAGCCCTGAGAATGGATGATCTAATTATATCCAACTCTGAACTTCTCAATATTAACAAAAAATACTCTCCTTATGGTTACAAAATATATTGAGGCATTTTTCTCCCACCAGGAATCGGAACTGTGAAACAATCTGATTTTGGTGCCAGGATGAAAGCGCATCCCATGACACAGGGATAAATGCATGAGTCACAATGCAAAGGATCAGGTAGTTTATAAATTACCAAGAGACTGTGATAGGACAACAAACTCCACCTCCCCAAATCCCACCCCTTTACTGTCTGACTGTACAAGCTACAGCTACAACATTCAAAAGATCACCTGGTTTGAACTTGCTATGATGTCTTGCATTAAGGTTTGTGTATGTGCATGAGTGGGGGTGCTTTAAATCAAACAATCTCAAATCAAAACTAAATATTTAAAACAAGAGGTCCAAATTATTTTCTCAAAAACTCACTTAATAATTTAGATTCCCAATTGAAGTTTAAGATCAGTGCCAGCAAATGATCCTAGAGAAATTCACTCTCCCCCACCTGAGGTTCCCTAGGAAGTGAGGCCAACAGCTTCTGTGTGTTCACACACAGAGTGTCTCTTCCAGGGTGGAAGATGCACAGCAAAACCAATGGTAATTTAACCTAAGTGCAGCATTACATGAAGCATCAGCCTCAGAAGGATGTGGGAAGTAGGAGCCATCCTGGCTCAGCTTGCTGAGACTTCAAGCATAATAGGGCAAATTGCAGCAAACCTCTACTGTATGTCGATGGAAGGGCATGGCAGCCCATATAGCATTTTAAAAATGTAAATTAAGAGGTATTATAGTCACAGTGCAAAAAATTAAACTTCAAGCATGATACATAAACATAGCACCAACTGGGAAAATGCAGGCAAGGGGGGGACTGAGGTGTGTGAGTGAAGAGTGCCTACAGACCTAATCAAGAAGCTTCAGCAAATGCCTAGAAAGCTTTAGTTCCTCTTACTGAGACAGAACTAATGACCTAGTCCATCTAAACTAGTGACTTCCATCCCAGGTGTCAGTCCTGGCCTCCTGCCCGTCTGTCTCAATGCTGACCCCAAGCATACACAACACAGCTTTGGTGATGCAGCAACATTGCTGGCACAGTCGGGACCTGGGCAGGAGCAGGAGATGCCCTGCTGTGCCGCTCTCAATGAGCCTCAGCTCCACTACAAGCCTGCAGCATCTCTAGGCACACTGCATCTCAGGGTCATTTTGTTACAACAGCTGACAGGCAAGCATTTCCATCACCGCAACTACCTGGCAGGAAGGTCTGAGGGAAACTGGGCACCTACTCACACATCCTGCCTATAATGATGTTTTAAAAATCCAACTACTCACTCTGGCTTTTAGAATGTCTTCAGGGTATATACAGGTGACAGAATCCTATCTGCAATCATTCTGCTGCAAGTACTCTAGTGAGCTGTGTCATCCATCTCATCTAATGCATAATAAGATAAAGGAAAGGGGAAAATAGTTTGTTCCCAAAAGACCGAAAAGGAAGAAAACTATCAAGTCTCTACTTTTAAGGCAAGAACCCTCTCTGTGCAGCATGTGGCATCAGAAAATCTGGCCTTGACACCAACTCAAAATCTGTCCCTTACTATTAAGGGCAACAGCGTCTGGGAGTTTGCTCTGCCCCAACAACACTGGTGCTTCTGTCACAAACTATTCTGCTCTGTTGGGCTCAACAACTGCCGCAGGACAGGCACGAGTGCTGAGGGACTGCAAGGCCAGAGGACTCTCCCCACTTCAGGGACTGCTAGAGGGTAAGCTCCACGACCTCTTAATACCAAGCAAAGGCAACAGAAATGAAATGCAAAAACCCAAACAACACAAAAACCCATCAAAATGATTTCAAGAACTTGCTAAACACCGGCATTAAAGCACTCTTGTGATTTAAACAGAGCAGAAGTGGGGAAAGAAGACAAGATTGTGTTTGCGCAAAAAACTAAAACTACAATTAGTTCCAAAAAGTTTATACACATATTAAATGTTTTATTCTGTTATCTATCTTGTTATCAAACTTTAAATTCTGCCTTCAGTCATTCTGCTCCGTGTCAACTCTGAATCCTCCTTTGCTGTATTTCTGTGATGCTGGTTCATCGTCTTGCTGCCTGCGTCTGGAGGTTTCAGCTGTTAGGAACCTGAGGCTGGTTAGCTTTGAGGCTGCGGAGGGCTCGTCTTGCTGCAGCAGACTTTGCGATCCTGTAGCTCCGGCCGACACCTTTAAATTTCCCCTTTCCCACCACTTCCACGGTGACTCTGACCTTCCCATCGTAAGTTCTCTCCGCCGGGCTGCAAAATCCAGACAGTTTGAATTAGAAGTCGGAGGCATTTGTTGTTATTGTCAGTCAGCACCTCTAGCTGTCTCGGGCTGAGCGTCCCTCCTATGAGCTGACTGTGTATCACACACTATCAATGCAGGCTACTCTTTCCTCCTTTATTCAGCTCTGCTTTATAAAAACAAAAAAGCAAAAGAGCCGCCAGTCAAACCAAAAATGCAAACTAGGTCACAGCACATCTGTGTGGACACTCTCAGAGTCAGTAGTTATAGTTTCTTGAGAACTCTTGTTTTTAATTACATTAGTTTTTCAGGTCATTCCCTACTTACCTAAACTTGGCAGTTTCTGGTTCCATCTCAAGCAATTCTCTCACTGGAGAACGGGGCACATTTGCAGAAAACTTTTCTATAATCAAAATGAAAGATTATATAACGTGACCAAAAACCCTAGAGGCATTTTAAATAGTGTTCTTAAATACACAAAGGAGGAAGAGCCGGCACTGTACCTATTAGTGGCCGCATCATTGGGTAGTACACCTGCCAGACCACCTCCAGAGACATCCCACTGTCCATATAAATGGCACCAGCAAGAGATTCAAAAATGTCCCCCATGGCCTTGGGGACTTCGATATCCTCTTCTTTCTCCTCATCCTCCTCGGATCTCCTAAGCTATTGAAGAGAAGTGACTTGTCAGAAAAAAAGGCACTTTCAAAGGCTGTCCATAGACTGGTTTCCTCCGCTGACTTTTGCTATTTAGCAAGAGTGGCCGACCATGGCATGCCTGCTTCCCAGCAGTGGGTATCCCCAAACTACCTTATCAAAAACAAAAAAGAAAAGTGACAAGTAACTGATGCCCAGCAAAGGGGAAAACAAAACAAAAACTACTTCTAAATTACAACAATTTAAATTTAACACAGAACTAGAAGTTAAAAATTTTCAAAATCACCAGTAACCAAATAACTGTATTTATTAGAACACCCTTCTCTCAGCACCCAGCAAGAGCAACAGTGCAGGCACGAGAGTGAAAACTGTCACTTCTAGGGCACAGAAATCCTTTCTGCAGCCCTTCCCTTCCAGGCTCCCGTCACTAAAACATGAACATACACTCTCTATGACAGCAGAGCTGACACAGTGTGTACTTGGATCAATGGAATAAAACCTTTAATGCTGTAATACTATCTTTGCCAATAACTAGCTGTATACACAAGCCTATGGATCATACTTATATTCACTAAACGCCTTAACTAAAAACTACTTAACTATCTCCTTAGAAGGACCATTTAAAGAAACGAGCCATCTCAAGTTGAGTGTGTGATCAGCACAAGTCAGGATGCCAGCTGGTACTGAGAGCTGCAGAGCATATCAAGTCCAAGACCAGCTGTGGTGTGCAGCACCCCAGCATCTCTACGTACTCTGAGTCTGGACACAAGAGCAACAGTGTACCACCCAGTACCAACACTGACTATGAAACCACATCACCAGACTACTTCAATTTTCTCTCTTTTTTGTTTACTTGCATTTTCTAAGAACAACAATAAAGCACAAATTATTGTGGAAGAGAAGAAGAAGGGAAAATTTTAATTTGTACACAAATTATTTAATACATTCAAATGCTGGCTTCTATAAGATACTCATATCCCACGGCTCTGGGATATGAAGAAAATTTAAAACCTGGTAGGTTTTATTCTCTCTCATTATAGCTAAGGAAGCTAAGGCCCAGAAAGATAGACTTCCTTAAGAAAAAGCATTGCTGCTTCTATACATGTCCATACAGACAAAGGGCAGTAAAAGAAGAAAAACTAACAGCCAGTATGTCTCACTGGCATCAAAAGAGAACCTGCATTTTACTAAACTCTCAAACGTAGAGCTTAACTATTTGTAAAGAATTCAACTAGAAACGGACGTGGATGGTTCCCTTCGTCACCTCACTGCTTGCTGGCTGAACTCTGGCAGGGAGTGTTAACAGAGCAGAGTGGGGAGCCTAAGTCCTGCTGTGGCTGCTAGGGCTTCAATCCCAGACTCTACACTCTCACAGAAAGCCCAGAAACTCACTGTTCTCCAGGGGCTTGGGGTGACTGCAAAAGAGACAGTAAAAACTGAAGTCAGAACAGTGAGCTGAGAATGAACCCTCGACTGGAATGCAAGTTCCTTGGCACCGGGTGCAGAGGGGACAGGGCAGCTGAGCAGTGCCCCTGCCTAAGAGGCAGAGCAGTGCAGCATGCACACATTTGAGCCAGGCAGCACTGAAGAGCAGCGATGCCTCCCAGCACCCAAAGCTTACAAACAACAGCTCCCATTTCAAACAATGCAAGTGTACATCTGCAAGGCTTACCTGAGATGCTACCAAATATTTCTGAACCAATTAAGAAAAGACAGGAACAGATCATCCTGTGATGGCAGAGAAGCGAAGGCCACTTTGGGGCATGGGAGGAGATGCACTTCTACAATTTTCTATGCCTGCTGTAGGAGCCTCACTGAAGGAACTGAAAATCCAGGCTCCTCGCCTGAATGACCACTTGGTCCATGGAGTGGGCAGCCAAGTCTCAAAGGCCCACCTGAGTGAGGCAAGTAATTCTTAGTTCTGCTTGGAGATCCCGCAGCATGTGGGCAGCCTGGCCCTGGCCTGTAACTATCCCTCTGGACAACCATGAGTCAGAGCTCACACTGCCCAAACACAGCTGGCTGCTTCCCTCAGCACTGAGCTCACAGTTTAAACAGCACTAACCTCAGAGTCCATCCCCTGCATCTCGTTCTTCTCAAGCTGAAACTGCACAAAGTCGTCAATGACATGGAAGAGCTCGGGAGAGACAGCTTTAAAGTACTTGTGGTAGTCATACTTCACAGCCAAAGATGCAAAGATGGTGTTATTGACCAGGGCAGAGCGCAGGTCGGTCAGGACCCCTGGGGAATGCTGACGCGGGTCTTCATAAAGGTGCTTGGTTATGAGGTAGTCCAAAATCGCATCTCCCAGGAATTCTAAGCGCTGGTAACAATCTGCGCAGAGATCCAAAGTGCAACGGTGAGCCTGCATGAGCACATGCACTTTCTGCATGCTCTGTCTGCATGGGAGCAGATGGAAAAGTTGCAGTCCCAGGCTCCTTTCGAGACTTCTACCAAGACATTTTCATCTACCTTCCTCAATGAAATTATTGGACATATACTTGCTAATGCACCTGGAAGTTAAGTTTTAACAGCAACTGAAAGCATATGTCTTATATATAAATTGGGTCATATAATCCTCAAGTGCCCAAATAACATGTTTGTTTTGGAGGAAAAAAGCCACTTCCAAGACACAATAGAAGTCATAGCAGCCCTTTCTGTGGGTACTTACATTAGCCAGACAGGCACTGGGCATCACTCCTGAGTCTCTATCACATGGTGGCATCTCAGTAAAGCCACACATGGCACACATACCTTCTGTGCACTGTCATCAAGGCATTGTGTCCTATACTCTGCAACGTGTGCTAAGTGGAACAATTCCTTAACACTTCAGGGTTATACGGGACATGAGATAACAGCAGGGAAAACATGACTTCTTCAACTAACTAGACACACTGAACCTAACACAAACCAAGGAACTAAGAAAGAAGTTGTGCACTAGAGCAAAACCCCAGACAAAAAGGGTTGCTTGCTTGTCAGAATGAAAAAAGCTACCGGTGCTGAGCAGCACTCTGATTTCCTCAGGGCCATTACAAGAACTCCCTGAGCTGAGAAAACTGAGGCTAGGACAGGAGCTTCATTCCTGGGTGCCACAGGGCAAAGAGGCAGGAAGAGCCAAGCCACCCTGGAATCCAGGCCTCACGGCGTCCAGCAATGTATGGGAACTAGGCCATTTCCTTTTCACACAGAAAAGAGGCTTTAGTTTAGAACATCATTTTCAGGGTTTATATTTTGTAAACGGCCTTAACCTATACAGCTTTTACTATCCAAACTATAAACTTTTTATTTTGCTTTGGTATGTTTGATATTCTTATACAAAAGGCAAAATAAAAACTTTATCTGGGTCCAGAAGCTGAAGCTAACTGATTCTGGGCATTCTCTTAGGTATTAGGAGAGAACTAAATAAAGGAGGAGATAACCACAGAACAATGGGAAGTAACCAGCCCTTCCTATAGAATAGTTATGTTTAATCTCATTTAAAAAGACCAGAAGAGAGCACCTTTTTGTCTAGGAACAACAAAAAGATGTGGAAATACAACCTGACTGTATGAGTAAATCAAGGAGCAAAAGCAGCAATGAATCAGCCCAAGAAAGGAATTTAGTTAGGAAAAGACAGGAAACAGCGAAACACCCGGGCTTCAGTTTCTAAGCACGCAGCACGTAAGACTCCACACGTGAGACACTGTAAGAGCCCCACTTCAACTGTCACAGTCACAGAGCATGCCTACTCCCCAGCGATGGAGAACATAAAAACATGTGCTTTGTGTGGCTCCCACCCCCTGCCATGCATACTGAGTGCTAAGACTGCAGACACACATCTTATTTGTGCACAGCCAGAACAGAACAAAGCAATAGACACAGTCTCGTTGTTGGGACTCCTTACCAGTGATAGTGTTGTAGTGGTAGGAGGCATGTGTAAAAGCCTGCAGAAGGTAAGCCTTATTCTTGAATCTGTAGTTGATTTTCTTCTCAAAATTTTCAAATCCAGATATCAGGTGGTTCAAGGTTTTCTCTGCATCTGGATGGTCAAACATACACCTTGGTGGGATCTTCAGGCAGCCGTACTCCAAGTCTTTCCCTGCAGAGGAGCGTGGGCTGGCTGCGGCGGCAGCACAGCTCCCTGAAAGGCTCTTTTGTTGGCTGCTGAAGTTCTCCTGAGCAGGGTACAGGGCCTTTTCCCGGCTGGTCCTTTTGATGACTGGGAGCACCTTCAGCCCCAGCGAACAGAGGAAAAGCTGAGCAGCCCTCTCGCCGCAGCTGGTTAAATAGCAGCCCAGCAGGGCCTCCACACAATCTGCTATGCTTTTGTCAGCAATGCACTGCTCCGTGTGCAAGTCGTAAGAAATGGACTGCTTCCCTGTGTCAACGCCACAGTTTTCTTCTGATGGATTCCAGAAACCCACCACAAAGTCATCCTCTTCAACTGCTTTGCTAGGATCCAGATAGCACATTGCATCCCAAGAGCTGTAGTCAAAATCCTCGAGGTCTGAGGAAAATGGCATACTGCCTAAGGAGGACTTTTTGGGCATTTTCCATTCATAAGCAGAATCGGAGGTTGAAAAAGGAGAAAGAGAAATTTTCTTCACAAAGGCTCCTGACCCCATTAACATGCTGTCTATAAACTGGATGTGCTCCTGATCATACTCCAGGAAGTCGTCTTCATACTCAGCCTCCTCCTTGGGTGCCCTCCACGTCAGGTCCTCCCCCTCCTCGCAGTCCTTACCTAGTTTGCCATTAGCCAGCAAGCAGTCTTTTGTCTGAAACGGGCAATGGGGAAAGGAGGAGAGACAGAGCCGCTGTTTTTAAAAGAGTTTGAAACTCAATAAAAGCAAGGGTTATGGATAATTTCAAATGACAACCACAAATACTGAAAGGCAACTTTTAAAAATCATGGCCATTTGCTTTCAATTAACATTAAATAAGTTATTTAATCATATAAACAAAGTCAAGCAAGCTCTTTGAATGCTCATTTTCTAAGTTATAAAATGACCTTTATCTAGTATAAATCTGTAAGTGAAGAATTCTGAACATGGATAAAGTTAAAATTGATGTCCACCATGCAAAACGTCAACTGAGTAGCCCTAACTCTGCAAGGAGAGAGGCCTTGTGTGTTGGTCAGAGGCCTTCCATTTAGCTGTCAGAATTTGAAAATATGGTAGCATGCCTTTCAAACCAACAAAATGAAATTCCTGATGTAGAAAGAACATTATCTTTTCAACTATATGCATAATATAAAAACAGACAAAATTTTTAAAAACTTTAACTATTAAAAACTACAGGAGAGTTTTATAATACGTTCTCTCACTATTTCCACTTCAAATCAAAAATCATTTGCTACAATTAAAATTAAACTGCTTTGCTTAAAAGAATGAATGTGACCACTGAAAGAGGGGATGAATTTGTGAAATTATTTTTTCACCCTCTATTCTGAGCCATGGTATTCAGGCCAACAGCGCATAACAGACAGACTGACAAAACAGAAGAAAATTTAGACTAACATGAAACGTAACAATCCCATTTCTGTCAAAAAAATCTTTGCTAATTCCAATATCTTTGGCAAAAGCTTCTTTGTGAATGATAACCTTAATAACGGGCTATGATTCAGCAGTGATGTAACCTCTCGGCAATGCTAAAAAGATGCCCATAAACACAAACTCACATGGGCAGAGCCACCACCACTGTACTTGGGGCAAATACTGGACAGTAAGCTTCAACTTTGACTGGGACAACTTTCCTAAGTATCCTGACAAAACACTTTCAAACTATTGCCCAAGTGTTTTCAAAAGAGACATATATTTCATTTTCAACCAGACTCAAAAGAGATAGAAACTCTGTGTTTGCCTGAAAAAAAATAACAGTGAGTCTAGCCCTGTAATCACACACAGTCCACTGTTTTAAAAAATACAGCAAAATCCTTTTGAAAAATAAAGAACACCAAACTATCAAAGGGTGGAAGGGATGGCTCAGAGATTAAGAACACTGGCTACTCTTGCCAGAGGACCTGGATTTAGTTCCCAGCACTGACATGGCAGTTTATAACCATCTGGATCAACACCCTCTTCTGGCTTCCACAGGTACCAGCACCTACTAGATACATACATATACATGCAGGTAAATCACTCAGCAAGTAGCAAATCTCAACAAACTGTCAGAACCTTTGTACCTTTCCAAGATAAAATGAGAGGCTTTTTGTTTCTGTTTGTTTTGTTTGAGACAGGATCTCACAATGTAGTCTTGGCTGTCCTGGAACTCACTGTGTAGACCAGGCTGGTCTTAAGCTCAGAGATCCACTTGCCTTTGCATTTTTCCCAAATGATGAGGGGGGGGGGGGAAAAACCATGCACCACTACACCGGCTCTATTATTTGAATCGTAAGACAAAATGGGTCAAGTTTAAATTACTCAATCTGAGCTTTTAAATTGCAAAGCTTCTCCATAAATCATTGTTTCTATAACATGGTGGGTTGTCTTGTGTGTCCCTTGCACTATTCATCCTCACATGGAAGATGCACAAAAACCCTCTAAAGAGTCTATCCCGGACAGTACAGTCTACCTAGGCTGCCCTCCCTCCTTCTCTTTGGAGAGGCATTAAGACATCGAGGTGTGACCTGAACAGAAGAAACTGTAAGGATACAAGTCAAAAACAGTTTAAGTAAAGCAGCAGATGAAAGCCTGAGGAGTACGTTAGTGTACCTAAGAACCAAATTGCTGAGTCAGCAGAAAAGGTCAGGAACCAGAAGTCCGTGTTGTAGCATGTAACTAAGGAAAGTCCTGATATCTCCCTGACACCTGAAGGAAGGATCAAATGCACATAAAGGAGGCCTGCTGACTGTTTTTTTTTTTAGAAATGAAATACTTTTTCTAAGGTTCAAATCAATACATTTTTCTACTAAGGTGTGTGTATACATATACATGTATGTAAATGTATATGTGTATTCTAAATAAGTAATAAATATCATCCTCAGATCTAACTTGAATCAAATATTCTCTTAATGCTTTTCCATCTAAGCTGAATTTCTGTGACAGTCAACTCCTACTTGAGTTACAAATACACTCAGCAAACAGACCTGTATCAGAACAGCCTCTCAGACCACATTACAGATGTTTAGGACTTATTAGGATAAAAATGTCAGAAACGAGACATGAAGATGTTGCTATTTAGAAACCTGTAAAGGAAATGGTGTTATCATTATCAGCCTGAAGTAACAATGACGGAACAGGAGCCCATTAATCACCAATACAAAACAAACCTGGCAAGCAGAGTTGCCTGAACAAATGGTTACTTCAAAGAAGTGTAAGACAGCTCTCTCCCAGCCACTAGCCCAGGGCACACAGCCCTCCCAGCTGCCCCCTGGTGGCCTTTGGGACAAGACAAAGGAAGCTGCGGCTGCTAAAGAGATGAGTCTTAAGTTTCTGGCAAGACTTAAATTATTTACAGTACACTACAGCCTTCCCATATGATGATCTGTTGTCCAGTTTGCAAGGGGAAACAGTCCCAAGCTAGCCCTGTGTTGCGCAAGCTAGTGTGCTGCAGTGAATTCTTCTGGACAGAGCCTGGCGATCACAGGCCTGCAAAGTCACTTCAACAAATAGCTAAGGATACACTGTGACATGAGAGTAAAGAGCTGACAGAGCTCTGATTTTATTTTTAAGCGGAAACAACAAAATTTTATACCTTTGGAAAAGAAGGTAACAGAAATTACATCCCCCTAAAACGAACACTATTTCTGAGGTCAGACAGCCTACCAACACATGAAATATCGACTATACTGTAAATGTGCTCAGTTAACAGAAACGGAGGTGCTGCTTACTGAGCGCTTGCTTACCATTTCATCCTTTTCCCATTTCTCTGCGTTACTTTTGTCTTGATTGACCACATAACCAGGAGGAAGCCAATTCACAGGAGGATCAAATATGGACACTACCATGCGGCTGGGCAGCCCCTTCTTCTTGCCAAGGCGATACAGGTTACAGTTGCTGACCTTGGGTGAAAAAGAGTCACAAACACTTACCCATAAATGGCCATGGCTGGAAAGCACACATGCCAATGTCCTTTGTATTATGCAACCAGTCACCAAATATAAGGACCACACAGTTTTACTACCTATTTATAACAATGACTAAAAATTCCCAAGTACTGGATATCCTTTGGTGTCATCAAGTAAATATTCACTACAAAATGGAGTCACAAAAACCTAATGTATACAAATTCCTTTCCTTATACACGAATCAGAAAAAGTTCAATTTCAAAGTTGTAAAGCACAGATTGATAGTATGAAATGCAAGATGGCAAGTGCAAATGGGTGCAGAAGATGTCAAGATGCTGTGACTCAAGATGTCATGATATTCTTACCGAGTAAGGGGAAGAACATCGTGTTACATGAAAACTGTCACTGTATAAAACCATTTTATTTCTCTAGAATCTAAGCACCAATACAACTCCAATCCTAACATTCTCAAATACTGTTCTTTGGTTGTGGGTAGCATTTCAAGACACTGGAATAAAAGGTGTTACAGAACGTTTGTTGTACAAGTACATCACTGAGGCAGCTTTATTATCTTTTCTCTAGTCCACTTGCTTTTCCTAAGGGCTCTACCACATCCCTAACCTACTTAAAACATGACATTGCTATCTAGTTTTCACTTGGACACTGGGCTCTAATACCATCAATCTCATTTCCAGTTTCTAAAAACGCACTGGAATACTCCAGAAGCCCTTTCCATATAACTCAAGTACTACTTAGTCAGCATGTGGTACCCATGATCAGTACTGGCTAGGCAATCTGGTAGAAAGCAGGTAAAGGGACAGAGAAGAGTCCTTACAATGTGTACAGACTGACAGACAGCTCTGCCTGGGACTGCCACGTGCCGTGCCAAAGCATTTCCCAGCTGTCTATAATGGAGCCAATGTACATAAATGCTGGTTTCCTTTTCCATGCTATACAAGAGCATCCCAAGAGAAGAGGGAAATAAGAGCTCAGAGAGGGAAAATATTCCAAGTCAGAAATGCTTGGCAAAATGGAAAAGATACAACTAAGGACTTGATGTGAGGCAAAATTCAAGGTCGAGAGAACCAGCAGGTAGCAATGAGGAAGATCACAGTGAGAGCCAGCTTGATCCAGGACACAGTCTGTGCAATGAGCATGAGGCTTGTATTAAGAATGGCAAGCAAGAGCCTGGTCAGAATCTGTCTGGAAGAGTATTCTGAACACACCTTAACACCAGGCAGAGGAAATAATTATTTCTGCAAGAAACCAAGTCAAAAGGCTCTGGGTAGATGAATGCATTCTTCCAGTCCCTATACCATGAGGTCTAAATACCCAATCCTGCCTGATGCCTCACGCTGTCTTCCTCACAGCACTCACCACTGCTACTCTCCACTACTTGCAAGCTGTCATAATTGTCAGGGCATTGCATCGGTGGCCTGTCTTAAGCTCGCTGGGAAGTCAGCCAGCAGGTATGTGGTCTCTAGTCTCAGACATACTCCTAAATATCTGGGGCTAGTGAATAACCTCACACAAGCTAATGTCACTATCTGGACATCAGTTTCTTCATCTGCAAAATGGTGACACATCTCACTGCAACAGAACTGAAGAGATAAAGTGTTGTTTGTAAAATGTTCACAAGTCTGGTGTTGGAAGCTAGCTGCCACTGTGACAGGCAAGGAGGTCCATAGCTATAGTGTCAGCTCAATCCCAGCTCTGCTCCCTACCACAATGTTTTCAGGCAAGTTATCCCTCTCCTGCCTCATTGTCTTGCCTATCAAATGGGGATATAAAAACATACACCTCTCTAGGCTATTAGAAAACTTACATTAAAGAAATTAGTATTTTTCTCTATACCCTCACGTATATGTTCTATATAAAAGGAACTAGAGTAGAGTCTAGTAGAATAAGAAGTTTGTCGAACTAAAATGATTTTTCCTGAATTACCACTCCGCCAGTCCTCTCCGTTTAGCCATTTTTGTTCTGCTTTTGGCTTGGCTGTGCTCTGCAGCTCATACTACATCCTGTGCCACACCAATCTCTCTAACAACCAGCCTACTATGTAACATCTCCTTGCTCAAACTTCCTCTCAAGAATCCACAGCATGCACACCATGCACAACCTCCTCTGCCAAATTCTCTTCCCACAGCTGGGGCTCTTCTCATGTCCTCCCTCAGCTGTTTCCCAGCCCCCAATGTCACTGCCTTCTTTCTTTACTGAGTGCTACCACACTCTGCAGATGCAGCTTTGTTTTGTACTGTAAAGTGTTGATGGATGTTTCTGTCCCACCTGGTCCCGCAGCTGTTCACTACCGAATACACACAGAGGCTTATATTAATTATAAACTGTTTGGCCAATGGCTCAGGCTTCTTATTGGCTAGCTCTCTCTTAATTATTAATCCATTTCTATTAATCTATGAATCTATGCATCTCCATGTGGTCTTGGCTTACCAGAGAATGCTCAGTGTCCTACCTTCAAGGTAGCTAACATGGCAATTCATTCTCTCTCTCTCTCTCTCTCTCTCTCTCTCTCTCTCTCTCTCTCTCTCTCTCTCTCTCTCTCTCTGTCTCCTCATTCTCCACCTTCCTCTTCCCAATATTCTCCTAATCTGGTAGCCCCGCCTATACTTCCTGCATGGCTACATACTGCCTGTCCATTGGCTGAAACAGCTTTATTCATCAACCAATAAGAGAAACATTCACAGCATACAGAAGGACATCCCCATCAATAAGGTTTCCCATGAGCACCTTCTCTGACACACAAGTGACATTCCATCCTACTTAATGTCAGGTCATTAGCAGCTTTGTAAATTGTCAGAGTTCTGCTTTCTATTTTATGACCATTTAAATATTTTACCTTAATTACTCTTCTTCCTCACTAAGCTTATGAACTAAGCGGATAAAGTGCTTGCTCTGTAAGCATGAACCCCTGAGTTTAGATCCCTGGCACCAACATACAAACCAGCACAGTGACACTATCTATAAGCCCAGTGCGGGTCAGGGTAGGGGCAACCACACAAAACAGGCAGATCCCGAGGGTTTGCTGGCTAGTTTGGCTGAATAGTGAGTTCCCAGCTCTGTGAGAGATCTTGCCTCAAAAAACAGAGCTCACTGATAAGACACCCAAAGCAGACCTGCAGCCTGAACAGATGCACACACAGCTGAACATACTTGTGCGCTTATGCACACACATAAGCATGCACATATGTACACGTAGGAAAATAAAAAGAACTTACTCTTTCTCAGGACTGTGGAACAACAGTTCAGAACTATGGGGCACCACTGTCTACACTGGGTAAAGCCTGATGCTCTTCCCTTGCCTGGCTCCCTGAAATTGGGAAGAAGTGCAACTCTGGGAATGACTGCATCGGACTTGTATGCACACATCCGTTTACCAAATCACTCTCCTAACCAAAGGCAAAAGTCCCTGAACAGTAACAATGGCAGTTTCTACCCCTTCACCATCTAAGAGTTCCACCCATTTAAAGCACAGAGGTTTATTTAACCTAAACTTCTATCAATAGAGAAGGTTATCAGCCAACCCCACAGCCTGTTTGTACTGTTGGTACACAGCTGTCATGGCATCTATGGGCAATGCTCCATGGGCTTGGCTGGCCCAAATATACTGGAACACAGCTGCAATGACTGGTGGAGAAAGTTCCACAGGTAACCTGCCTCATTTTCAGGCACACTGAAGAAGCCTCCAGCTCAGAATAAAAACCGTGCCTTACCTTTTTGCTTCTCATATATGAAAGGCGGCCCTCGTGAGCATCAGGGTAAGTGCAAAAGAGATATGTGGTGATAGCATGCTTTAAAAAGGAGTCGCCAAGCATCTCAAGCCGCTCCAGGTTAAACCCATCGCTAGCATTTGACAGTGTCAGAGCCTGAAGAATCAGTCCAGGGTTGGGGCCAAGAGTCCTCGAGGAGTACCCAACAGAAGGGCGCTGCTCAGAATCCATCCTGTCCTTGAGTGCTTTCACAGCACTCATCACGGCAGGCATCGTAGACACCGCGGGGCTTCCATCTGAGGTAGATGTGTTAGCGTTTCCATCAAGGTATTTATTACTCAGTAGAGTACATTCATTGCTGGGCTTGGGCTGGTTCTCATAATGGTATAAATTCTGAATGGGATATGAGGTAGTTGGTTGCACAGGTATTTCCTGCTTGAAGTAATTCAGCTGATTTCCTTGGCAAAAGTCTCTGTTAACTAAATCATAACTGCCATTGGCAAGATTTTTGTTGAAAGAAAGACCATTGATTGCTGTAAGATCCGTTGAAACTTCAATTTGGAGCTTACCAGGTGACTCAGCAGGTAGCCTTCTGCAGTTCACAGACATTTGGTCATGGTTTTCTAAGGGGGTTCTAGTAGCACCTTGATGTGCAGCATTTTCAGGGACTATAATTGTGCTGTGCTTACAGTAATTATCATTTTCAGCCAACGAGGAGTTACAAGTTGAGATGAAAGACTTGCTATCAATAGATTTTTTCCACCCGAAGTCTAAGTTAGGGTATCTGTAAAGACATTTTTATAACTTTCTATCCATTCTTCAGAAGGGTAAGCTCAGAACAGCAGCATTTTGGCTTAAAAACTAACAAAGCAAGCAACTCTAAAAGTCCTCCTACTTTCGAAGAAAACCAATCCCAAGCTTAAAAGAACATAACTAGAGGTTCTGCACAAACTCAACTATAATACACAACAGTTTGCTCTTGGACTTCTGTTTATGCGTCCACAGCAGGGGGACTGAGAAGATCCAAGAAGGAGGTACCTGCAGGACCTGGAGTCACACACTTTCTGCTTAACCAAGTAAGCAGCTTCAAGCAACTTATAAACTGCACTTGGAAATGACTTCCTATTCAGGACAGGACACAGAACAGAATGAGTTAATAAAAGCTATGTTGTTTAAACTAGTGTTTCATACTGAACCAAACACTCAACTATTATAACGTGATTATTATCTTTAAGTTCTTTCAATCCCCAGAAGAACCATCTATATACCAATTTTAATTTGAACGATTAAGTCAAAAACTTCTTTGGTATATGGAACTTTACTAACAGGGAAAAAATATGATAAAGATAAGAACAAATGGATGAGGCTGGAGAGATGGCTCAATGGTTAAGAGCACTGACTGCTCTTCCAGAGGACCCGGGTTCAATTCCCAGCAACCACATGGCAGCTCACTACTGTGTGTAACTCCAAGATCTGATACCCTCACACAGACATAAATAAGAATAAATAAATTATTTAAAAAAGAACAGATGGAGGCTGCTTTCTAATATGCAACTCACACCACTAAAGAAGAAATGACTGTTCTGTCTTGGGAGCTTGCCTCTCTCTAACTAAACAAGAACAAAAAGCTCAGTGACCCAGTCTGCTACTTCAGGGACAAACAGTACAGTATGTTTTAAGTGTCCACTTTTTTTTTCCATCTTTTAATAACTGTAAGAAAAGGTTTTTGTTTTTGTTTTTTTTCCCGAGACAGGGTTTCTCTGTGGCTTTGGAGGCTGTCCTGAACTAGCTCTTGTAGACCAGGCTGGTCTCTAACTCACAGAGATCCACCTGCCTCTGCCCCCCGAGTGCTGGGACTAAAGGTATGTGCCACCACCACCTGATGAAAAATATAATTTTGATTTAATTTTATTTTGTTGCATATTAAATTTCTGGCCAGCAACACAGGCATACCTAAAATCCGCAGGAAGTGATCTGACTCCCACGCCAGCATCGCTGGCTGTCTGAGCTCTTAGCTCCTCTGCAGTCAAAAGGCAGTGAAGGCGATAAAGTATGCTGGGGAGACAAACTGCTTTTCTCCACAGTGATGCTGGGATTGGATGTATAGCACAGAGTTCCGGAACCAGTATCTAGAGTAAAGAAAAACACAGGCTGATTAATATAAAGCACACAGAAATAATAATCAAAAGATCAATTTCACTAAGATAATATATTAAAATCTAACTTTAAAAACGAATCTATTAGACCTAAACTAGATTTATGAGGGTGATTTCATGGATGCATCAATGGACCAATGTTAATAGCAAAACTCAATCCTTACCAATAAGGACATTCAAAATAAATTCAATACCCATGGTGACCTCCCAGAAATTCACAGGTCATTGTTATCAATATATTATTGAGACTTAAAAAAAATAGGTCATGTTTGAATAGATTGTATTTATGTACACACACACACTCACACATACACGTATATATACACATACACACACATACATACATACAACTAATGAAAAAAGATGAAAAAAGAGAGCATGAATTTGAAAGAGAGTTAGGAAGGGTACATAGAGTGTTGGGGGGAGGAAAGTGGTAAATGATGTAAGTATATTATAATCACAAGAATAAAAGAACCAATTAAAAACCATTAGGTCATGCTAGTATCAACTCATTACCTGTTTGTTCTGCAGACTTTCCCATTTGGCTTTCCTCTTTTCAGCACTGCTTAGAGGAAGTGCTTTCCCCTTCTGATTCAAATGCCGAGGTGTCAAAAGGTTAAGTCTGTAAAAATTTAAGAGCAGTTTTATCAAGCAGGCAAACAACAGTACACCCTCACAGTGGCTGGACTCCAGCTTTGGTATGCCTACAAGCCCAAGTTGCTCATTCAGCACAACCCTCTACTACCCAGGCACGTCTTTGTGCAAAGGATCTCTTGACTCCAAAGTCCATGGGTAGAGAGGCACTCTGACCCTAGAAAGCAGGCTGCCCCTCCTCCCGCCCCACACACACCTAAGTCACCTCTGCAGCTCTTACCTGGAAGATGTGTGGTCGACATCCAGCAGCGGCTGGTTGAGATTGGTCAGGTCAAGGTTGTACTTTGTTTTATAATATTCCGCAAAAGTTTCATACTCGGGGGAAGGAAATTTACTGAGTGGGGTAAGATCAGTATACACATCAGCTACATAAAATCGATGAGGCTGATCAAAATTGCGATATCTAAAAATAAAGAAAATCAAGTTGCCTTTTTGTGCAAATCAACGATTCTCAAAGCACAATTAGTTTAATATGAAAACATATGTCATCATTAAGAACTCAAATGGCTAGAGTACATTAATAAAATTTAAATAACATATATTTCAAGAGTTTGAGAATAAGAACTATATTTCTATTAAGTAAAAAAATTTTTCCACTTGTTCTCCTGAGTATCTTTCCTTTGACAACATGAAAAGCTAAATTCCTTCAAGTATCTGTTTTCATTAATACAATAAAAAGAGAAAGCTTAGCAACATCCTATAGAGGAAATTCTTTGCAAACTACTGTTAAACACAAGACATCAAAACCAGCATGCTAATTCTTTGCAAAGTATCCGCATTGACTTTATTTCCTAAAGACTTCCATTCCCTAAATTTTGCAAAGTAAGACAAGTGCTCTTGCCATCCTTGATAGGCTACTAACAATAATCTCCTTGGAAAGCTTGAGGCGCAAACATCGCTCCCAATGAACTTCTCTTGAAAGACTTTGGAACTAAAGGGGTAACATCTTTTTTTAAGTCTATCAATATTATTTACATGAGAAATAATACTTTTCACAAAGTAAAGCCTTTCACCTACAGCATTTTTTGAGTTCTTGTCTGAATGAAGTGAACTGGAGAGACATGTTCACCTCGCTAGCACTCTCTACGCGGCTGTCACGCCACACCCACAGTCATATGAACAAGCACACATTTTGCAGCAAGAACTGCCATTTTCCTTTCCACTGAAATACCTACCTTGGAATGATAACTGCATCTTGGTAATCTTCTAACTTAAAAACAAATGGTGTTTCTTTTGAATACTTAGTGCTGGGAATGCCTATTCGAGCTTCAGACTTCTCAATATCCTCCATGAATGTAAAGTCAATGTCCAAAGTGCTAGAGTCATTAACTTAAAGAAAAAGACACTTTAGCATGATAAATATAACACAGGTAAGATTCCTATGTAAGGTACACAAATGTGAGTCTCCAGCTGTCAGTAAAAAGTATTCATAGGATACACAATAAGCTAGTTACCAGCAAAACTCTCACCGTTCAGCTATAATAAATGAGCTCCTCCTTACCAACATTAAGAGGTAGAACACAGTATGCTGACTCAGCGCCTGTAGGTTTAAACTCTAGGGCAGGTTTTTCAAGCCGAAGAATGTGTGAGAATATATACTGGTGGAGTCTTGTAATCAGCTCGAGCATTTGTTGAGACAGTGTGAAGCCAGACTTCTTCAGCTCAATGGATATGGTGACCTCTCCAGAGCGTGTGTACACAGGAAAGTGAGGAATCTTAGCAAAGAGAAAAGCTCCTTTTAGTCCAGAGGCATTCTATTGCATTAGTTCATTTAATCTCTGGGTACCAAGTGGCACTTTCAACAGACATGGCTACCTGAGGTATGGGTTTGGCTGTCAGGATCCCAAAGCATCTTGTGGTGTCCTCAGGAGGGTAGAGTTTCCGTCGCCTGAAGTTGAGTTCATCAGGGAGAGGGGTAGTTAAGACCATCCCTATCACATACAGGTAGCAAGGCTGACCAGGCTTAGGGTAACTCTCCCTCAAGCACTCTGGGATCTAGAGTGGAAGAGAAGAATTAAGTATCAAGCTCTAGAACAGATAGCCTTTATTCTAGATGCTGGTAAGAGTGATTTCTGTTAGGATTTCAACAAAGCCCAGAGGGCACACTCAGTGATAAGATTTCTGGTATGTCAACACATGTCAGGTCTGGGTTTCACACTGGCCTGTTTACCTATGCTATAATATACTGCTCATTATACTTTTATGGACTATCAAAAGTATATAAAATGGTCTTTAAAAAATTAGATCGCCTGGAGGTAGTGGTGCATGCCTTTAATCCCAGCACTTGAGAGGCAGAGGCAGGCGAATCTCTGTGAGTTCAAGGCCAACCTGGAACGAGTTCCAGGACAGCCTCCAAAACAATACAGAGAAACCTTGTCTCAAAAAACCAAAAAAATAAAAAATAAAAACTAGATCATTTTATCTATTTCTTTTCACTGAAAAACACTTTTATTCCATGATTTTTCAAACTACTTACGTACTACAGAGTATTAGAAAAATACAGGTAGACCAGTTTTTAATACTATATATAACCCCATCATTCAAAGACAGTATTCAGATATACTTACTATATGATTTCTAAACTATTTTATTACAAGAACACTTTTTTTCCATCATACAAATCATGTCTTTAGTACCAATGGGACAAGAAAAATTATATTTTTCAGAACAGATAGAGTCACTTAACACAGACTGAGATGAGGTATGAGGTATATGAGCAAGAGGGGAGGGAGGGGAGAGAAGTGAGGGGGAGAATGGAAAGGGAGGAAAGGTTGGAAAGAGCAGGAATGTTTTGTCTCAGTTACTACAATGGGTCCATCTTTCACAAGTCAGTGTCGCCTTTTAAAATGTATTACCTTTATTTGAGAGAAAGAGAATGTATGTGTGTGATGACACATGTGCCACACACGCTTGTGGCAATCAGAGAACAGCCTATCAGAGCCAATTTTCTAGAGGCATTCGGGCTTGCTGAGCCAGGTCTATGGCTCTAGTACAATTTATAACAGCTCTCATTATGAGAGTGAATCATAATCAAATTAGCTCAGATTTTCTGAGCTTTCAATTTTAACAGACTCATAGATTAGGGTGCTACAGCGCTGAGATTCACTGGCATACTGCACTGGTAGTTCACAGTTACTCCTATTACGTACTGGCTAAGGGACAGTTCTAATTATCAAAGAAGACAAAATGGGTTGGTCCAGGAGGAGACAAACAGACACCATGGAGTCTCAGGAGAATCCCAAGTGGCATTTATTATAACAAATTTGTCCAACAGGAAAAGTGAATACAAAATGAAAAAAGCTATACACAAAAAATGGGTAACATTCAGGATTTGAAAAAAGTATGATTTTTAAATCTTGAGAATGCTTAATTGGGTACAGATATTTAAAGTAAACACTGAAAAAACAAAGTAAGAATCACATACTTAGGTGAAGATAAAACACAATGAAAGTTTGCTTTTGTTTGGGAACCTTATGAGCTAAAAATATTAGTATTTTAAAATCAACACTTGTGTCAAGCATAAGATATTGATATTTGAGCTCTGCTGGGGCATCACAGGTCAGGCAGACTCACAGTCTAGCCTGCTCCACTTTCTGAATGCACCTCCCATCACCTAAGAGCAGCCTTTTCAGCTACCCAGTTCACCATGTGACTCATGGTCTAAGCAGCAAGGGCTGATAGGCTAGAACCATTCCACTAAATAAGTAAGTCAAAGAACATCAGAGTAGAACTTAATAAATGACTCAAGCATTCTTTTGAAGGGAAAGACAAAACCAAACAACAAACCCAGCAACAGTTAAAGTAGAGGGAGGCTCTGGAGACACTATGCATCAGGGGAACCAACTGAGACACACAGTTGGGCTGAGACAAGGGTCTGAGCAAACACCCAAGTAGAGCAGTTTAGAATTTGAGGTAGCAGGAAATAAAGTCAGAAAGGCCGATTTGTATTCAGCTCTAACCAATACTAACTGCTTTGGGGTAGCACTGCCTTCGCTTTGTGGACCCTGGTCTTCCTGGAACACTGGTTTCCTCTTCATCATGTAAGTCAAGCTCTTCTTCATATTTAACAGTCTCTTTCCCAACTGGCATCAAATGTTCATCCAGTTCACCTAAGACATTTAAAAGAGCTTATGTCAGCAACCCAAAAAGTAAATAACCTAAGACAGCACTATACTGAGGAAGCAAGTGAAAGAGTGATAGCAACTGAAGGCCCTTTGCCTTTAAAAAGGTAAGATATGGCTCAGCAGTTAAGAGCAGAGCACCCAGGTTCAGTTCCCAGCACCCACATGGTAGCTTACAATCATATGTATTTACAGTTCCAGGATCTGATTCCTTCTTCTGTCCTCCACAGACACCAGGTACATACATGGTGCAAACACACTAAGGCAAATGCAAAGCATGCATACATATAAAATAAATCTTAAAAACAATGTAAAGTGACACTGTAGAGGATCTATCTTTGACACTTGTACATTCAGCATGGGCAAGCTTGCAAGGCCAGCCCCCACACATCCCTTTTAAACAAACACAAGCTTTATTTTCTTCACCAATACAGACTAACCTGAGAGTCTAACAAACCATGTGGATGGTTCAGGATCCAATAGTTAGAGCATTCTTATGTATTTAAAAAGGGTCGATAACAGAAGCAAAAAGCGGCAGCTGTTTTTAGTGAAGAGCAAAAAGTCAAGAGCCCTGCCCAGCACTGTAGGGTTTCTGAGTTGTTCAATACTAAACCAACTAAAGATAGCAAAAGCAGCAACAAGGCCACACCCTGACAAGCTCCAGAAACCTGTAGAGGCCGCCATGTGCTTTTGTTGTATAATTGTCATTTTTTTCACTTACATTATGTTTTCAAACATGCTACATACCAATTTTGTGCAGTTTTTCACAGCAAATGAGAGCTACCACTCTTTCAGCCAACCGTACACAGCCCATTGGTGGACCCTGAAAGAAACAACAAAATACTTCTAGATAAAGTTTACCAAGCCACTGAGCAGCCTTGGAACCTCTGCCCTGGAAATGGTGATGTCCAACTTGCCAGAACCAAGTATTTTAGTTTGAAAATACCAACAAATTTTTAAAAATTCTAGTTAGTTTTTTTGTTTGTTTCCCTAGATTTTGGTGGTGCTGGGGACAGGGGAGGAATCTAGGGTTATCGCACATATGAGGCAAGGGCTCCACCACCAAGCTATATCCCAATCCTGAAATACCCATCTTTTAAAACCAGGACCAGTAAAAAAATGAATTTATAACTAAGATGTTACAATTTCAAGTAAATGTGCATTTTAATAAAAAATTTAGAGTATTATTTTCATTAATCAACAAATACAAAACAAAAAGGTAAAAACAAATTAGAATCTAACTATGGTATATTACTTTGGAACAACTTTTCTGTGGACCTGAAATTACTCATTTGGAACATCTGCAAATTAGTATTGGAATCAAGGAAAGGGCAATAGTTTATAAAAGGCAAATCTCAGCCAGAGCAGCTGAACTACATTTAATGAATTCTGTGTCACTGCATACAAAGTCACAGTAACTGATATCTCAAAAAGATTCAAATTATTAAGAGCCCAAAGGGAACTTGCAGGGGTCATCTGGTCAAGTTCTAAGAATTTGCAGAGTGTGATCTATAAAAACCTGAACATAGTGCTGACTATGCGACTTACAAATGATTTTTCAGAGTATAACTTGGATGTCTAAAGAAGATAGACAAGCGCTAAAGGCGTACTTCAATGCAAGTCATGTCTTTTTCTTAACTTACAACAATGGAGGCTCGAAGAGGTGAGTTAATCGGAAGATAAAGAGTTGAATAAAATGTACCATCAGGCAACTCTTGTGTTCTACATTTGGGAGCTAGATGAGTAAACGGATCACTTGGTAATCGAGCACAATATCTGTGAAGAAAAGAATTCTGAAATTGAGTCTACAAATGAGAAATGGACAGAAAACTGTCTCAACATTCAAAACATCTGTTAGGCTGCCATTCACATAAGGAATGTTCTTTGTTGCTCCTTGACCTTCAATAGGACAGATCTGGGCACTGGAAATGAATGTGTGTAATTAGGAATCTACATTAGTTAAGCTTATTTTAGTTAAAACTGAAGCTTGCATTTAAAGGTCAGCCTGCACCTAGTGATTTTGCACAATACAGAGTAGTGCTCTGAATTAGCAACAAGAGTGCATTACCAGTCTTGGCTTCTTAATCATCTTACACTTGCCAGGAGCCATGGCATGTGTGAGGAAGGTAGCAGGACAGCAGGACAGCCTAGGGTGAAACCAGGAAACAGAAGCTCCATCAATGGTAGCACAAAATGGTGGCAGAGCATGAAGAAGGTCCAGAGAAAACTGATCCAAGGAAGAAAAGTGTTGGGAGGGCAAGCAAAGTCACAGGGGAATACCTGTGCAGTTGGAGCGCTCTGAAGACAAGAGAGGCAGCGGACAGGAAGGCTGAGCACACCTGAGTATAGTGGATCAGACTTTTCACCACAGAAAGAGGGAAGTGCAAAGAAAAAAAAGAAATCTAGAATGAACCTAGAGCCACCTAGAATAAAATGGGGGCAGCAGAAGCAAGGAATGAGTCATAGGAATGTGTGCACACACATAAGTAAGCAGATGCCTGGCTTGGCTTACAAAGAGGCCTGGCAATAGGACACCCCAGCGCCTGCTGAAGGTTCAGCTCTTTCCCATTAAGTCCATTTGCCAGCACCGTTATCATTCACTCTCCATTAACAAGAAACAGGACCTCACAGAAAACAGCAACAATTAAAACACAGGCAAAGAATGTATTCCACTTTAAATTTTTGCATTGTGCAGTGCTGAATTTTCCACTAACAATTAAGTGTAATTATAATTTACTTCTTCCTGAGCTGCTAGCATTGCTAAAAATTAAGAAAAAAATAGTTACAGACCTAGTTTATATACCAGGATAAATCTCATTTAAGGGCAAAACAAAGGAGCAAATGTAAGATTTAATTTACATTTTTATTTGAAAACCATTTTAGACTTTAAAATGCTGTCAGGGTACTAGGGAATTTTCATCTGACCTTCACCCAGAAAAACCTTTCAAGTTTCTAGTCAAAGCATGCAGCCCAGGAGCAGAGGTCGCACCAGGCTGTCACATCCGCCTATCTTTGATCTTTCCTTGGTCTTAGTGACCTTGCTTTGCAACTCTTGAAAGCTGTGGGCCTATCCTTTGGAGCCCACCTCTCAATTTGAGTTTCCATGAGATTTTTCTCAAGATTAAACCTAGCTTATACATTTTTGACTAGTATGTTCTGAAGTGAAACTGTGTCCAAGCTGCTTCATTGTTGTCACTGTATCTTTATTCTTCTTGGTGGTGGCACTGAGTACAGTCTGCCAGTGTCCTGCTGTAAAGCTGCCATTTATTCACCAGTAGAGACAGACCACATGATACCTCCAACACTGACATATGATCTACTCCCTTACCTGTTAATATGTCCAATGGCAGTGTTGATTGTGACCCGTGGACCCCCATCATCAGGCCTCAATACATATGGTGGGAAAACATCATCATCATCTACAACGGCATCAACGTCAGCCTCAGCACCATCCACTGATTTGGAACACTTGTTTCTTAAAATCTGAGCATTCATAAACAAGATGTAGGGTAAGAACAAGTATCTTCTTTCCTACATGTTAGCTTTCTGCCTCTGTATTTATAGAGAAAACTCTACCTGGGCATGGTGATGCTTGCCTATAACCCCAGCATTCAGGAGGCTGAAGCACAATGACCATGGGTCCTAGACCAGCCCAGGCTACACAACACCACCCTGTTCTAAACAAAAATAATATTTTGATATATACTGCGTGACACAACCAACTCTCCCAATACACTTCAAAAATTCCAAAGCCGTTGCTGCAGCAAAGCTCTCCACAGAATCCTCCCAGCTCCATCCATATGGAAGCACACTGTACAAGGATTATCTGGTACTGTTCATGCACACACAAAGGACACTGTCAGTCTCACGCTGTTGGTAAACTACTGTCTCATCATTCTCTTGCCACAGTGCCCTCCTCAGACACCCCTCTTAAACGATCCACAGGACTTTCGCACTGCTATGTTGCCAGGGCATTCTTTGTCTCTGTAATCATCTCAACTTCCTTACATGTACACACCACTGAGACTGCCCTCTGAAGAACAACCTTTTTCTCTTTTCATACACGCAAATAAAAAGGAAGACAAATGAACTTTCTCATCGCACCTTTTCTATAGCTTTGTAGGTCTTAAGGTCTTCTTCAAAGCTTTGTATCTTGTCTGTATCGGCCAACATCACATAATTAGAGATCGGGGCTCGGGCTCGTCCTTTGGACTGAACATATGATCGATACTCCGTGGGCAAATCAAAACGAACCACCAAATTGCACTTGGGAATATCCACACCCTCTTCTACAACACTTGTTGCAATGAGCAGGTTAGTCTCGTGTGCTCGAAATTTCCTAAGTACCTGAAAAAAAAAATTCACCAAGAGGAAGCAATTCTAAGAAATTTCCCAAAGAAAACATTACAAAATCATTAACAGTGGTCATTTCTGGCATATTCCCTAGGAACACTACATCTCTAAGGTAATGTAGGGACAATAACAGTGTTGCAGAAACAAGACCACAGTCACATGTCCACGGGCCTTTACTGAATGACAGGACTTTTCACTGAATGCCTTTAGACTTCAGGCTTCTCTTTACTACCCACAAATATATCTAATCAAAGAAGTGTTGCAGTGAACCCCTTCCTGGGGATCTGCTGCTAGTCTGTCCTGCCACAGTGGCCCCCATTGTCTGTGAGACTGAGTCAGAGCTCCCAACACTAAACTTTCCAAATGCACTTGGACTTAAAGTCACAAGTAGAGCTTTGCTTATTTCCTAGCACCTGAGAAATTGGTAATCTAAAGAAAACAAAATTGATTAAAACAAAGGGCAAGTGTTTTCACACAAAATTTAAGATCACATTACCCTCTGTGATGGCTGATCCTAATTACGCAACTTAATAAGATTCAGATCAGATCACTTAGGAGGCAAACCTCCAGACCACTTTGTAAAAATGTCCAGAGGCTTGAGTTCAAGCAAGGTAAAAAGATCCACCTTAGTTGTAGGCAGAGCAGCAGTGCTCCATGTGTTGGGTCCAGGTCTCAGCAAAAAGAAGACAGCAAGCTAAGCACAGGTACTCATCTATATGCTTCTTTACTACAGCTGCAACATGACCAGCTGCCTCAAACTCCTGCTAGCATACCCTCCCTTCCACACCAGAGGACACTCTCAAATCAGGAAGCAAAATAAACCACTCCTTCCGTAAGTCGCTTCTGGGGGGACTTTGTCAGTTATAAAAAAAGTAACTGATATTTCCCAACACAGCTAAGTTAAATAGCACATGCTGTTCTTTAGACAGAGACATCAGACTGGCTCTTGAAATTCCCAGACCTGGAATCTGCTCAAAATGCTAAGATCACATTCCGGTAACATATGATTCTGCTAATTTTAAGTTAAGTAGAAAACAAACAAATGGATCTTGCCTGCCATAACACTTAGATTTTAGCATCTTTATATGCAGTTTCCTATATGAGATCTTTAAAAGCATGAACAATTTTAAGCTACATTTGCAAAATACAGTGGTCTAGGATACATCAAAAAAGGCAGGCCTTCAAAGGGAAGCATAAAAGACACCCTGAGAAGACTACAGCTTCTTGCTCTGCAGGTCTGTGGAAGCTACAGTAATCATGGTCTCCAGGCTTCATTCTCCAATGAGGTGTGGATATCATATAGTAATTCCGTAAAGGAAAATGGACTGCTTAATGACAATTAAGAAAAATTAATTCCCCAGAAGCTACTCTAATTCTGAGCATATCAATAACTCTTAGTCACTTTATGAGAACAGAAGATTTCTTCATAAACAAATAATGTATTATATTATTACAAAGAAAGGAGAGAGGAAGGGAGGGGGTTAGGAAGGGAGAAAATGAAGTAATTGCTGGGGAACTATGAAGAAGAGAGTTTTCATGGTCCAGGTTTCTCAGTGTATTAAGAACTATTGTTGTCATTGTTACCTCCTCCTGTTTTCTGAACTCCGCTTCCATCTGTTTGCTGCGAGGCTGGCTCTTGCCAATGCCGTGTCCAGTTATAAAGTTGCTGCTTATATAAGCCAGCTCTGGGTCCTGCTTGCCAGCTTCCTTTATCAACCTAAGGATGTGAGACACACATGGAGCTAAATACTTCCAAGTAAAACCCATTTTAACTTTTGGATTTTCCTGCTTTTAGTGTGCACATGCACAATGCTTGTTTGTTTGTCTGTGCACATGTGCACAGTGCCCACAGAGGCCAGAAGAGGGCAGAAGAATTCCTGGAACTGGTGTCACAGACTGTTGCTAGCTACCTGATACAGCAACCTAACACTGGTCCTCTGGAAAACATCCCTAACAAATAGTTGCTCTAGCTTCACTTCTGTTGCTATGATGAAACACTCTGACTAAAAGCAATGTTGGGGAGGAATGGGGTTATTTCAGCTTACAATTCCAGATCACAGTTCATAATTGAGGGAAGCTGAATCAGGAACTCAAGGGTAGTCCAACTTGCTATTCCACACAGCATGATTACCTCTGGTCAAGGAATGTATTCTACAACCAAAAGGTACAGCAGGAACAACAGAGGATGATGTTTACAGGAAAGCTGACAAGCCAGCTTATACTCAGCAGGAGGGTACTACCCACGGTGCATTGGGTCTTCCTACATCAATTAACAATCAAGGCAATCCTTCCCATTCCCCATACCATTTGACCTGGACAATTTCTTAATTGAGAGTCTCTTCTCAGACGACTCTAAGCTGTGTCAAGTCGGCAGTTAAAGCTTGGTAATCTCTTCCTACCAAGTTTCAAGAAAAAACAGTGCCATCTGTAGGCTGGGTATTTGCAATGACAAATACAAGGCTGGCTTACACTGACAAGTGAAAGGGTTACTTTACTTCCAATCTCCAATTTAGTGATGGTGACTTAACAAAATGGTGTCCCTGGATGGGACCAAGCTAGTGAAAGAAGCACAGCCCCAGACTAGTAGAGATGACAGACACCTACAAACCTCTCCTCTTTGGGGGTACTTGCGAGCAATGAGTGCTGAGTATAACCTCGCATGCTCCTCCACAGGCATGACAGTGGCCCACCCTTGCTCATCTTACAACAGCAGGGTGACTAAGAGCAGAGTTCTTGGGAAAGAAGGACCACTCAAATCCTTTTGCCCCCCAGGCCATGAGTCACAGAGTTCATGCTGTAGAGTCCTGGGCTTTTCCACAGCAATGCTAAAGACTTCCCACTACATTGTTAGGAAGGAGCCCCATCTATGGCCCCTTTCCCACCTGCTCCTTGGCATGAACCTATAGTGCCACAAACCCAAAGGGGCCTTCTTACTAAAACATGGAAAAGAGCTACAAGACAGATCACATTACATAGAACGAAGTTAACAGCCAGTGCTGCCATTACAGCTATTTGGAAATACCCACATTCAAAGACTCAGCACAGGATAAACGGTTCCACACCTGACCTAAGTGACTCCACATGGTCCCTCTGAAATCATGCTATATAGTATAAATTCCTAATGGAAAGTTGCATTTTAAAGTCAAACCATTCTTATTTAATGTATACATGAAGCAGGCTAATATCAAAGGGCTGGCAAAACGGAGTGGCCATGTAGAGTATTTGTGCCCCCGGTCAGCAGAACCTTTCCTGGCCAGAGTGTTCTGGGGTTCAATGACTTTAAACACTTAGAATCAGAAGCTTCCTGATCAACCGTTCCAAGATCTGTGTCATTATTGTGATGAGCACCTGATGTCAGCAACAAAGAACAGAATCACAGGAAAACAAACAGCATGCCCCAAAGCCCCAAATCTGAAAGAAATTACCTTAGAAATAGCATGTCCTGTTAGTTTTAGTTTACTTAAATAAGCATTAATTTGAATGTAATGGGAGGTCTTAAAATGCACTTCAAGTTACTCCTAATTAAGAATGTGCTTTGCCCAAATTATCAAGCTGGCAGGCTTCAATTAGCTGAGAAATAGAATACTAACAGGAATTTATTTCTCTTTAATGATGCTGACATTGAATTGCAAAGCTGAAGAAACATGGACATTAATAAAAATTCCTTGCAAGCAATAATGAAATGTTACATATGTGTGCTGTTAACACTAAGCAGAAAATGATTGCTCAACTAGACTAATGTAGAGAATGCCTAACCATGACCCAAGCCTAAGCCACGAGCTTCAAGGAAAATAAAAGAAGTGTCTCCTGTCCTCAGCAAGTCGCTAAGTGATTAGCACAAATTTCTTGAAGAGTTCTTGGCCGATGATGGAACAGGTGAGAAGGCCCTGTTCTTGTAGATATTGAAAGGGAGTTGATAGCTACGGGCTGAGCTCCATGGTTCTCCCCAGATCCATATGAGAGTAAACAGGCAGGTTTGTCAAAGACCTCCCCAACTCACCAAAGACCTGTATTCTTGTAAAGTTCCATAAAAATAAACTACTAAGAAAATGAAACTTAAAAGCACTAAAATTCAGTTGTATTACATTCAGGAAGCATAAAACTCTTGTCAAGTTGCTTCTCAGAGTGTCCATACATGTACTTTTCACCTCTCTTCTCAACTCAGGCAGAGGGAGGGCCATGCCATGTGCCACATAGTGCCTCTCCAGGTAGATAGGATGGCATGACCAAACACAGATATACATGAAACTAGATTATGAAAACTGGTTTTGATCATACATGCTACACAATGCAGACACAACAGAATGAACATGCTTACACACAAACATCTAAAATGTCTACCATGTACCTGAAGTACATTACAACACTTTCTACTAGTGTCCCTTAACCCTTATGCTATCTTGTCAATGCAAGCAAACCAAACATAACTCCTGTATGAATCTGCCCAGCTCCAATCCTGACCCCCAGTAGTCATAGGACAGTTCACTGCTTCTGTGTACACAGATATCTACTAACAGCAAGAAGGAGGAGTATTTAGTATTTTATAGATGCAGATGTGTAGGCTTTAAAATTAGGTAAATTTACAAAATATGTGCCTATAAAATGGGTATAAAGAGGAGAGGAAGTCCTTTGCAAAACTGGCTGATTATGGCTATGGCAAGAGAAAATACAAGAGCCTTGTAAATATATATAACAACACATTATAATATATATTATGCATATAAAACAACACATTAAAGTAATCTGCAAAGCCCTATTACGGTAAGAGCAAGTGAGGAAGTGCTCAAAATACAAAGGAATGAAGGTGTGTAAAAGGAGCAAACAAGCCACCACAAACAGCTCCTAGTGGCCCAGGTTAGAACACCTGGGCAGCTGAATTAACAGCATACTACTGGGTTATGATCTGAAATTTAGACATGGGGTCACACTGATCCAATAAATCCAAACAGAAAGATAGTAAACAGGATAAAGAAGTCAAGGGCAATTCCAAACAACAGGCATATGTACACTGCCTCCCCAGGAAGTGGAGGTTAACTACTCCCTCCTTCTGTAGATAGTCTAGATGTGGAAACTTGCTTCCAAAGCATAAAATAAGAGAAACCTTCACAGAAGGAAGGCTGGCAGATAGTAAAAGGACGCTTAACATCATCAGTGACAGTTTTTGTTTGCCAGTCCCTAATCTGGTATGACCAGAAAGGAGTGCTACCTCTAGAGTTTTTTTTTTTTTAAATCCCTGTCCCTAGCTTAACCCCAAGACTACCATCAACCAGCCCAAATGGAGCAGCAGCATATAAAATACCTGACCCATATTCCTAACCCTCAAGACCACCAAAAACAAGGAAAGACCAGAGAAGACTGAGATGCCAGCAAAATGCTATAGGGTCCCTGGGGGAACAGGAATGCTGAGATAGTGGCACACACCTACATCAAACTAGTTAGGAGGAAGAGTCAAGGTCATCCTCAGCTACATAGTGAGCTTGAAACCAGCCTGGACTAAATGAGCTCCTGCCCCCCTGCCAAACAAAGCAAAAGAGGCAAGTATGTAACCCAGCAAATGGCTACGACAGAAGGAGCACTAGTGTGAGGAAAAGTCTTGACTACATCTCAAAGTGAAACCACTTGGAGGACAGGAATGGAAAAGTGGCAAAACAGAAACCCAGGGTTCAGTGCCTAGTCTGCACTAATGTTGATTCCCTGGTTGAGACACAGGCCTTAGTCATGGGGAAACTGGTGAGACAACACAGGACTCTATCCAACTGACCGGTAAATCTAAAATTAGTTTAGAAGAAAAAGTACTAGGGAGGGAGAAGTTGGAGATAGACAGGATGTAAACTCCGGTCTGTCCAGCGGCAGTACCAGACAACCCTAGTAAAGCAGAGTTAGAAGAAACTGCACTTAGCGCCTGGGCACCACCTTCTGATACCTGTGTTCCAGACAGGGTGCAAACATCTACCTTCCCCACATGGAGTGAGTGCTGTGAACACTGCTGTGAGGGTACACAAGAGGGAACTGCAAGCATGTGAATGAGCTGTGCTTGCAGCACGCACAGCGGCTGGTCAGCGGATGAACAGCCCGTGTGTTAAGAGCTTCTACTCTGCTGTATAGGAGGCGTTTCCTCCTATAAACAGAGGGGAGGAAAGACTCCAGATTGCACAAGTTTTTCTAAGCTTAGCTTATTAGAACAAAACATCTACTGTACCTTTAATTAGATGCCACGAAGTTAACCCTCAAACTGCTCTTCATTCATCCTAGGACACTAACTCCAGCCACATTTTATGAAAGCTGATCACAATTAATCTGATCCTTAAGTCGACAGGAAGTGACTGATTTTAGATAGACTTTCTGGCTAATAATTCTGCAATGAAAAATGATCCACCTCTGCATAAAACATATGTAGATCCCAGCATGAGTTCTTTAAAAACTCTCATAAAGGGGGCAGAAAGAAGGTAACTCCCATTCTCTCCAAGGCCCAGAAAATGTTCATCCCTGTCCTGTGTGTGACTGCATAAGGAGTCTATCCAGTGTGGCACTGAACTGTGCTCCTGAAATGCCATTTCCCCAGTCTAAGAAGTAACACACACACCCCTCAATCAGCCACATGCTTCTAGGTCCCCTGGCTTGTTTCCTGCAGAGTGCACTCGGTCCTGCTGCTTGGGGACACCCAGGAGCATTATGATTGTAGAAAGAAATGGAAACTGGGAGGTGAGTATTAGGATTCTAGAACTGTCTCTGCCACTGACTAGCAATTTAACTTTTAGCAAATCACTTTTCCTCCTGCGGCACTTTTTTTTTTTTTTTTTCAGAACTAAGCAGCTAGATTAAATGCTCAGTGAGGTTCCTTCCATCCTGAATGTCCTGTTAAATATAATTCTTTGCCTCAAGTTATTTCACTTCATAGCCATCAGGCTCAGTGACCAGCAAAATCACCCAACTAAAAACTGCCAGATGACTGCTATCCAGTCCAATTTCCCATTACTCAAAAAATTTAAAACTCTGAAGCAGTTAAGAAAAGAAAAAAATCCCAATTACCTCAGGAAACAAAGTTTAATTTCTCCTCAGAGATGACTACTTTCAAAAAGACTCTCAGGGATGGAACTTTAGTCAATTAATGGATCTCCCAGAAAAGTACAGCCTTAAGTACAAAAAAATAAGGACCCTCTTTAGGAAGAAAATTATAGAACATCTACCCCAAAAAAAAAAAAAAAACCCAAAATCGCTATACGGTAAATGACCACCTGACATAGGTAAGCACAGCTCCATATTCAGGGAGGAAAAACAAAAGCAGCATTTATTAAAATAATATAAACAGGAACTAACCATTATCTTCACCAATATTCTCAGAACTTTATAACATTCTCTTCCAAGTCAGAATGTTTTAATATGTAGACTATAAAGCAAACTAAATTGTGAATCTCTAAATTCTCACCAATGCAGCTTAAGACTGAACAATGGTTCTTCCTCCTATGTTCTCAAACACGAAAGTCAATACAGAAGGCTTCCGTGAGCTCAGAAGGCACAGGATTTTCCCCAGCATACAAGCAGTTCTACAGAAGCAGACATGCTGCTGCTTGTGTCTTCTAACTTAATTTGATTCTGGCACTATCAACCTGGAGATAAGATCAGATCCCAAAGTCTGAAAGGTTCAGTCTCCAAGAAATGCTCCTAGTTTTCAGATGCCAGTCATAAGCCCCAAGTAGGGTCTTCTTCAGAGTGGCCAAGGGTCCAGGACACCGCTTTACAGATGAAAGGGTGCACAAGGCAAGACGTGTGAGGAAGGGTGCACGACTTCCACCTTTGCTAGGCCCACCCCATCCAGGAACTCTAGTGATCTGGAAAGCTCTCTCCCCTCACTTTCTGGTTTTATGAAAGTGCTCATATCTATCTGACTGGTTAAATCAAAGGCCGCTGGCCATCAACTCAGCCTTCAGCCTCTTCCGTCCCCAAACGCTGGGGAAGGGCTACCTTCCAATCTTGTCTAGATGATTCCAGATCAACCCTCATCCCAAAGCCAACCAATTCTTGAGCATATAAATGACACTTAGCATTTTGAAGGTTCTAGGACTTCAGGACCTGTATGCCCAGAAACCAGAACAGCACTTCATAGTATCACATTTAAGGGGAAATTTTTTAATTAAAAAAATTTTCACCCTCAATACTAAGATAAAGAGTATCCTACGAGCATGTAAAGAAAACAGCTGTGTGAGAAATGCTCAACATAGAGCCTAAATAGTCAAATGCTAATTGACCACTGAAGTGAACCCAGCACACAAATCAAGATATGCTTCACTTCAACTCAATTGTTCTGCATGTTCTCTACTTTGGATTAATAGAATGAATGAGCATCCTTAAAACAAAAATGTCAGTGTCAAAATTAGTCTTTAGAGAAAGTGACTATAGGCACCCTCATTGTTAGTTCAGGGACAGCATGACACATGGATCCCAGAGGAGAGCTTGTAGACAGAGACAGACACGAATGTAGGCTCTTCAAGCCTCCCAGCGCTGCCTCCCCACACATACCTTTGTTCAGCAAGGAACAGACACTGACCCAGACAGTTACCTGTTTAGGACAACTGCTGTGTATCTTCTTTCCACAAAAATGATTCCACACAAGATATTGGTAAATGGAGAAGGAAAATTTGTCTCTGGCTTTTCTTTTTCTTCAATTTCTTCATCGTCATCATCATCCTCAGAATCACTCCAGGACACATAATTATCTTGATTCCTATTATTGTACCACTCAACACTTTCAAACTGCTGTCGCTCATAGGGCTTGTATTTGCGCAGGATCTCGAGCAGTTTCATTACTTTAGGAGTTACATACTTCAGGTCAAGTGAGGCAGGTGAGAAGTGCTCTTCACATAGTGCATGTATTTTCCTCAGCAGAGTGTCTGTAAACAATAAGAACTTCCTGTGCAGCTCCTCCTGCTCATGTTTGATGTACTTCTGCAGTTCTCTTACCATCATCCCAGCTACTTTGTCCGCACACCAGGGTCCCAGAACAACCAACACCGCACGGCAGTCTGAGAGTATCTAAGAAAAGTGAAGAAAGTCAAAAGCTGGATAATCATCACATACTTCAAATAGCTGAACTCCTTCAGCAGTCATAAAGTGCTCCTTCAAAACCAGTTTACCCCAACAGAAACACAGAGGTTAATCACCCAACATCAGAGGGAAGCTTAATGATCCACCCAACTTCCCTTTCACAGATCTGTGCTTAGTTCCATTTCCTTTCTCCCAGCAGAGACAAGAAACAGCAGTTAAAATAAGCAACCGTACAAGATCTAAAACCTGAAATTCAGATGCAGGGCTTGTCAGAACTACAACTCAGTCATCTGGTCCCTGCCTGGCTCTGTAAAGGGCTATGGAGTGGAGTAGCTCAGGACAGCCTACCCTTCAAAGACCAAAGCACTGTCCCTTCTATTGAACTCATGTTCCACATCCCCTACACCCATGTATGTTTTCTATTATAATAAATATGAAAATGAAATGCTAGAAGTATTGCTTAAGTCTGACCAGGCTAGTACCAGAACTTCCTTCTACAAAGGCTGGACAATTCTACACCACTGTGCATTGTCCCCTCTGGCTTCACTACAATGAAAGCACTCAGTAAAATCCAGAATCTCATCTTGGAGCCTGTCCAGAGTAGCCCAACATATAACACCTAGTCCTGCAGGAAGGGTTATAATATACAAATGCAAGTGCCTGTCAAGCAAACCTCACCCTGATCCTAATGTGCTCTCACAAGTTCAATGAAAAATGTCCAGAGCTCATAACATAGTTTCCAACTGAAACGCATGGGAAACAGCCTCAACAGAGGTATACCATCATTGCAGTGTGCAATGGAGAGATGCTGCACATACTTACTTGTTTGGAGATCAGAGTAGAATCTCTTTCCTTTGAATGTACAGATACATTACAGTCATTGATAAAATTAAGTGCTTCTTCTAATTCCATCAGCAGCCTTTCATAAAGCCCACTTTTGTCAGTAAATGGTCCACAATCTACCACAATCTCACATGGCTGAGAAGCGTATCTTTAAAATCAGAAACAAATTGTCAATGTCAGTGAAAATGCATAACTGCTTTTTAAAAAACAAGGAAAGGAAGATAGTAAGGAAACATTCCAAAGTGTTAGCAGTATGGTAGAATTTTACGTACTTATTTTAATTATTTTTTTCATATTTTTGAATTTCCCCACAGAGAATAAACAGCCTTTTTTTGTTTTTAAATAAATATTTTATTTACAAGAGATTTTCCTAAAAGAAAAAGGAAAGAAAAGAATGCCAGTTAGATGTTTGCTGTATCTCAAGTATGCTGGAAACTCTACTCTGACTTAATCCAAATGCAGGGAGGACCGAAAAAGAAATGAGTGTCAGCAATATTAGGTAAATTAATACCATCAAAACAGAACCAACCACCTTCCTTTGAAGGCTCTTTCAGCTATAAAGTTCCTTACCTTCCCTAAATGCCCTTTGCGTCATCTTTTAAAAATTCAATACAACATTCTCATTCATTTACCTCCTCTATCTAGTTTGAGTTTATGTCTACTTAAGCAAAAAGGCATACTCACAGCATGCCTTCACCAGTTATGTGCAAATAATCACTGTCAGACTAAGGTTCAAAGAACTCTGTGAGCAGATTTCACTGGAGTCCCAGAAGTGGTTTTGGTTTGTACGTTGACTGCCATCTTTAGCCCACTTAGGCAGAATGGAGAGCAAAAATGTTCAAAATATTCAAATTATTTTTCAAAACAGAACTGATCAAAAAAGGTCACAGGGGAATGTTTTATTGTTAAATGTACAGATTAGCATATGATCTGAAAACTTTTATTTTTAGTTACTTTTCATTATGTAAGATGTGTGTGTCTATGTATGGATATATACATGAGCACAGATGCCCAAGGTTGCAACCTGACATGGATAATGCAAACCAACTTAGGTCCTTTGGAAGAGCAGCAAGCACTCTTTAACTGCTCATCCATCCCTTCAGACCCCTATGTAAAGTCTTTTAACATCTATAAATCTCAATGTAAAGTTTTTATTTATTAATTTATTTGGTGTTGTGTCTGTATGATGGGGTACTATAATTCATGAGTAGGTGGGCAACTTTGTGACGTCAACTCTCTCCTTCCATCTTTATGGGGATGAAGTGACAGTGCCATGCCACCCATTCTGAAGGAGGGACAGGAGCTTAGAAGGGACAGAATCCACGTATTTAACTCAAGTAGGCTTCATCTGCTGAGCCATTTCACTGACTTTGTCAATATTAATGTATTTCTGTAAAGTAAACTGCCTGCTTTCATTCATTTCTGATGTCATTCCTTGAATCTACTGTGTCTTTCACATATCAAGGCAACCCAAACAGTACATAATACGTTAAAAGCATATGGATGATTTTAGTGAGTGAAATACAATAAAGACACATTTCAAATGTCTTTACGTTTCTTTTCTTGTTGTGAGATAAATTACCCTCACAGAGAGAATGGATTCTTTTGAGCTCACAGTTCGAAGAATGGTACATCATGGTTGGAATTTCAGTCAAGGCAACAGGAGCTTAAAGCAGCTGTATACTTTACCACAGCAACAGGAAAAGAAACAAAGACACCAAATCATCATTATTCTGGTGTAACCTGAATGTTTTACTTACTTACAAACACAAGTCCATACTCACAGTTTATTCCTGCTCACAGTAATCGTATCCCTACTAATTTATAATTTATTATACACACACACATATATATATGTATACATGTGTACACACACATACAACACACAGCTTCTGTGTGAGTCTTTGCCTCTGCTGTTAGAAAGCACCCTGACCAAAGGCACTTCAGCGGGGAAAGGGTATTGTAGCTCAGTTTAGGGATACAGCAGGAAAGTCAGAACAGCAGGAAACTGAAGCAACTGTTCATATCACATCCACAGTCAAGAAACAGAGCGCTGGATGCCTATTTTCAGCTCTCTTTCTCCTTTTTATTCAGTCCAGGACCCCAAAACCAGGGAATGGTGCCACCTGCTTTTAGGCTGAGTCATCTCACCTTGATTACTCAAGTAAGATAACCTGCCAGAGACCTGACTCCCAGGTAATTCTAGACTCTGCCAAAATGGCAGTTTTCACTAACTGCCACAGCTCCTTTCTATAAAGGTAAGCATATTGGTCAGGCTGTGCACATGTATCTGCTTCCATGTCAATTAGGTTACAGAAGCTGAAAACCATTAACTCCTCAGCCAAGACAACTTACAGAGCACAATCAGCATCTTTCTCAGAAACATGCAACCAATCTTCAAAACAATAGGGTATTCTCAAACATTTTGAAGCATACTGCTGAATTCTCTAAGAATCCTTCAGTGTGCCCTGAGAGATGTCTAGGTCAGAATAACAAAGTGCACACTGATGGTGTGTCCTTTACACTGAAGGTAAATGTCTTGATAAAAGTCCCCAGTCTAGCAACACAGAGAACAGGATGGTATGGCTGACTTAGTTTGGGTGACGATTGTTGCGATGTAACACTGAACAAAAGCAACTTGGGGGGAAAGGGTTTATTTTGCTTACACTTCCGTATCACAATTCATCGTTGAAGGAAATGAGTACAGGAATTCAGACAGGAAGCTGGAGACAGGAGCTGTTGCTGAGGCCATGAAGGAGTGCTGTTTACTGGCTTGCCCTCAGCTAGATCAGTCTGCTTTCTTATGTAACCCAGGAAGAGCACATCTCCCACAATGGGCTGAGACCTCCCACATCATCACTAAGAAAATGCCCTACAGGCTTGTCTATTTACAGCCCAATCTTCTTAATGGAGACATTTTCTCCATTAAGGTTCCCTTCTCTCAGATAACTACAGCTTGTGTCAAGTTGACATAAAACCAGCCAGCACGCCCACGTGCAATGCCATCAGTGAAGGTGGCAACACTCCTATCTAAGGCTCTCTGCAGAAACAAGGGTAGATGCTTGTGCTTGCAGGTAACTAACTGAATTTAAAAAAACAAAAACCTATCAGTCTTGTTCATTCCTTTTAGCAACCATTTGCTCACTGAAACAGGTACCAAATACAAGATGCTACAAAGACTCCTCACTGGTCAACCCAGGCTTCTTAGAGCCAAGCCATGAGAAGCGCATACCTGTCTAAGACCACCAGGTCAGTGGCAGTCTCAGCATTACTCTTAAGAATCTTCTCCAGTTTCTGAATCTTTTCTTCCAATTCCTCTGGATCACATTTCCCATTTAAGATGGAAGCAGTTAGTCCCAAAATTCGAGGGCATGATGGACAACTTTCACAGAGCTAACATAATAAAAGATACAGACAGTAAGGACTTCCTCATGCAAGACCACAGCAAGGAACAATGCCACATTCAAACACAGGAAAACTACTGGCAGTTACTAAAATCCACTTCTGTGGAAACAGCAGCATAATACTATAAATTACTACATTTTTTTACTTGTTTAAAGATCTACTTTTCAAAAAGTACATTTGGATACTCTAAGGATATATCAATTGATATTATGATGTTAGAAACAGATTAAAAGAACACTAGTTTTAAGATTCATCTGTATACTGGAGTCAAGTTAACAATAATGGTAATTAACACCACTGCCCTCTGACTTTTTTTTTCTTTTCTATTTTTTTTTTTAAACACAGCATAAAAGAGCGGGAGAGATGGCTAAACAATTAAGAGCATTGGTTGCTCTTCCAGAGGACCCAAGTTCGATTCCCAGAACTCAAATATCAGCTCACAACCATATGTAACTCCTGTTTCAGAAGGACCCGACACCCTCTTCTGGCCTCTGAAAATACCACACACACACACACATGCAGGCAAACTCCTATACACATAAAATTAACATTTTAAAAAGTTAAAATTGTATATACTCAATAACTTAATAATTTGACCATGAATTATTGAAGTTGATAAAGTTTAAAAACCTACCTTCATAATTTCTCGGTAGGGGTGGTCTAGAATTGCAAGATGACACTCATCAAACACCAAAAGGTTAATGTCTGACAGTGACAAGTAACCATTTTTCAAAACATTCAAGGCGACATAGCAAGTCATAATGAGAACCTAAAACAAAACTGACATCAGTACACAAACACCATTAACCTGCCTGGCTATATCTCTACCAGAGACCAGAGTGTCAGTATATGGGAGGGAAGACTATGAAATTCATGGGTCAAGATTAAAGCAAGAAATTTACATATGTAAAACATACATACAAACACAGGAACCAAGATGTAAACAATGACAGCATGGGTAAAGATTATGAGAAAAACTCCTTAGAAAGGGAGACTACATCCTTATGATAAGTTACTACTAAATCGACTTCAGGTTTCCCCAACTATAATTGAAAGATGAGACCTGTAATTTAGTCCAATAATAAAAGAATGTACATTGAGCTGACAAGGTTTTCTGAAAGATTAAATTTTATACAGTTTATTGTCCTGTGGACAGGCTTTATTTTAGTGGACCCATTCTAAAATGTGAGAAATACTAGTGGTTAGTAGGTTGTTGAATGTTAGTTACAAAGCAGCCCTCAACCGTCATGTATCTCCTAGTATCACACACAAGAAGCCCTTAGCACATGTTACCTACTGAAAACATGAAGGCAGAGGTAGCCTCTCTCAAAGACCAGGGATCTCAACCAAAGAACTTTCCCAGTTTCAAAATACCTAACTCAAAAGTACATTCTCTTCAAGTTGAATAAGTCACAGGTCTTTGTCTCTTTTCTACCCTCTGAATGACACACACATTAGTAATTTATTGTTCATACTGGTTTCAGATGAACCTTACAGAAAGAGAGAATGGAAAGGGACTGGGAAAATGTCATTTTCTTACTACCTCAACAGCTGAGGCTAATGTTAATCAAATCAAGGACTTGTAGTGTCCGTACAGTGAAACATCCCTGCAGGGCTCACCTGGTGCTTAGTGAACTCTTGGCTCCATCTCTCTTTTGTCCAAGATGCATTTACTTCTAGGTTTGAGTACTCCCCAACCTTGAGGTCTGAGTGAGTTCTGACAGCTGAAACTTGTTGAGCAACCTGGTTTGCTGGTCACAAAGATAACATGTAAACAGGAACAATGTACCCAATTGGCTTTCTGAACAGTTACAAAAATTATCAGTTATACCTAGTCATTGATTTTCTTAAATGGCTAATTTAAAAATCATAGTTCCAAGAGCACCCTCTAAAATCACTGATGAGACCTGACACTTCCTCTTCTATCGCTTCCTCCAGACAACCTCATATCCCCTTCACAATTGACTTCCTCCATCCTAAGACCTAAGTCCTTTTCAAAATAGAAGGATATCTACTCTATATCTGTCCTTCCTGCTCTCCTCACTGAAACCAGGTCAATCCACCAAGAAGTCGTATTCAAATCACACAATTAAGTTGAGACTGTCTTTAAAAAAAAAGGGGGGGGGGATTCTGGGTTCCCAGATTGTACTTTCATGTTGACAATCCTAAACATACAGACATCAGTTTAAGACATCAGACACTAAGCTTCCTCAGTAACTTTACTATAAGTTTCCAAAACTGCTCCAGCAAAAAAAACATCCATCAAGTAAAGTAGGTTCCTATCTCTAGTCAGCCTTCAACATGCTTTATGGAGTGAACCAAGAATGAAAGTAATTTTAACAACCTAGCCATCTCCCCAGAGCAAACCCCATTAGGAGAAATGCAGAGTCTGAACTATTGAGAGAAATGCTACAGAGAATAAAATAGTATTTGGCTAGCAGGGCTTCAGTAAGCTCATTACTTGCCAAACTCTCTTTACTTTCAGTAATTTAACTTAATACCCATAGAGATAACCTATTTAAATTCAAAGTCTCATCCAATTTTCTCCTCATATTTGGTAAATAATGTTTGATTACCAGAGTTGACGAGGAACACGGTCCTTTTTGCACGTGGGTTGAGGTCACCCCTGATCTGATGGGCCAGCTCTTTGGTGAGCAGGACTGCGATGAACGTCTTCCCTGAGCCGGTGTTCAAGCAGACAATGGTGTTATGGTCCAGAGCTGCTTCCAGCAGCTCAACCTGAAACATGGGAAAAGACCACACACTTCTTAACGAAGCATCACATTTTAAGAATTGACTTTTGTTTTAAATAGAGAAACCTCCCTGTTTTCTAAAATCTAAATCTGCAGTCAACTTTACAAAAAGAAAACCACTGTCCTCACATTTACTCAAGAATAACAGGGGAGTAAAATGGCTGTGACACACAGCTGTGCTGCTGTAAGCATATATTAAAACGGTACTGACAACTTCATTTCAGAGTTATTTCTGCACGTTAGTTCTCTAGAACAACAAATATAACTAACAAATACACTAGGTATGTTTCTACCAGCTCAGGGCTGAATACTTTCAAACCACTCTCCATCGCTACCCAGCTCACTAGAACTGACACATCCAAATGGACGTAAAGGAACCGTGTGAACTGGAGAGGGGATGAGGAACTCACAGACAGAACCAACACAGTCAATTACCCAGCAGACGTTAGAACAGAAAAGAACAATTAAGAACAAAAAATGCTTTAAACAAGAAATTAATCAGAAGAGAGAGGTTTGAAAGAGTAAATGAGTTTTATAAGTTGTGTCAACTCTACTAATTTATTCTATTTTAGTGAAAAATGCTCCAGTATTAGTGGTTTCATTAGTACCTGGTATTTTCTTGGCGTATAAATGTTATCATGAATTGCTTCTTGTTGCCATGGCAGTCCAAAGAAAGGACCCATTGGTGAGGAAGCAGGGGTCATGAGCTGCAGGCCTGCCATGCTGAGGGGCTGCAAAGCAGGGCTTTTCATTCATCCAGTGTTTCTTTCATTGCATTTGTTCTAGCACAGCTTACTACAAAAGGGAAAAAGAATACCATTACACAACCATGCGGGGTTAAAACAAAAGAAAGCACAGGAACAAGAGAGACATCAGACTACTGCTCCAGAGAGCCTCTTCAATTCTTTCTGTGGTTGGTTCATTCTCTTTTGAGATCAAAGAGAATGGTTTTAAAAGTCAAGCAATCTATACTCAACCAGGCAATCATACCTAGAAGCTTGTCTAAAGAATGAACCAAACAATTGTTCAAATATAAACACATCAGTTTGTATTGTTACATTACTGCAAAACAAGTAGTAGCTTTAAAACTAGCAGAAAACCATGCTGTCAAAGAATCTAAAGGAATTCTTTAAAAATATTCATACTCTCACATATCTATATTTATTGGCAAAGGGTAAATTCCTTATTAAACCCTTAAAAGAAAATATGTACCATATGATGCCTTATTAAACATACCTACAGGTAAGTATGTAAATATACGCATTATATTGTAAAGCACAAACATACAAAAACAAACTCTCCATAAGTTCTCTAACATTATGTTGACAAAACAATGAGCCAACATACAGGCAGGCACTACAGATGCAAACCCCTGACCTGGCTACATCACATTATTAAAAGGGGTGTTTTGCTTAAGTGACAATCTACAACTACACAGCTAAAACTATCCTGATAAACTGTACACATGACATTCCCTAAATGGAAATTTTTCCATGACATCTAAGCACTCTCCCATTTTCATACATTCTTTTCCAGAAGAATTTCATTATGTAAGCTGGTAAAATTAAAACTGATCTTTTAAGAGTTATGTGTATGTGCACACGTATGTTTATGTGTATGCTAGTGTGTGCAAGTATAGAGGTCACAGGTCAACACTGGGTGTCATTCTCCAACTCACTCACTTTTTGAAACAGGGACAGCCACCCTGGTGTTACAGAGCACTGTCTTCTGAGCATAACAGTTCTCACCAGGACAGCTGTGACTACTTTTAAGACAGTCCCAAAGCAGATCCTGGGGAGTGATGGCCTTCCCTTAGAGAAGCAGGCAAGGAGTCAGTGGATACTTACCTGGGATTCCAGCTGCTCTCCCTACCCCTCCTGCCATCGGTATAGAATCCTGTTCTAATTTCACATGGCCTCATGGCCTCAGGAGGTCTAGAGTGGAAAATTAACAGGAGAGGGGGACTCCATCTATGTAGCTATAGGAAGCTGCCATCCATGCTGGGCTGAGAATTTCCAGCGGTGTGGCTGCTTTGGAGTCACTCTCCTATAAGTGACCCCTCACTGATGCTCTGTAAGTGAGCCCAATAAATTGACAGCTTTCCCCCAAGTTAGACTTTGATGGAATTGTATTTTGGTTTGTCAATGGAGCCCTGGAATAAAGGGACAGAGATCTCAAAACATTTGACATAGACTACAGGATCATAGTAACTGGCTGGCCACCAATACCTCAGGATCTGCCCATCTCTAACTGCAACTACCACATGCACAACCCATCCTACCCCAATTCAGATTACAGAAAATCACCAGGTTCCTGGCTTTTACACAGGTGTGAGGGATCAAAACAGATCCTCGTGTTCCCACGGCAAGCACTATTCTCACCAGGCTACCCATCCCCAGCCCAATCTTCCTAAAAGTCTCAACCAGAACAGAAGGCTAGGATGTCAAGACTGTGAAAGACCATCACTAGCCCCCTCAATGAGCAGCATTTACCAATCCTGCACTTGGAATGTTTACCCTACTCTGCTCTGTGGTCTTCACTACTGTTACTCTATGAGACTGGAAGAAATTCAGCTCTTGGGTTTCCTGAAAACCAAACATGTTACTTCCCAGTCTCTTTCATAATGTACAACACAGCTCATTCAAGGTACTGTTGAAAGGAAGCAGTACAGAGCACTGAGAACCTCATAGACAGCTTGTCCACACACCAACGAACATTAACATTCTTACTACACTTTTCAATGGAAGGAGACAAGAGGTAACAGACCACCACCAGCACCATTATTTGATCAAAGAAACCATATTCCTCATAGGAAATAATCAACTCACTTTCTACTGGAATCAAAGTCTAACATCCATTCCTTGAACCCTACACCTGACACAGTTCCCGATTCCAGAGCACACAGGACTCAAGAGCCTCACATGGAGTCAAGTTCACCTAGCTTCTAAAGATCAAGAGGCCACCCTGAAGGCCTACCAACTAAGGCAGCACTTTCCTGAGCTCCCTGGCTTGCCACCACTCTGTGTGCCTCCTTCACAACCACAGCTCTACGACTAGGAACCCTTGCCCTTAAGCCTGACCCACACTTTCACTCAGCACACAGGATGATCTAGATCCATCAAGGCATCATGGAAGGTTTCAACAAAACTAAGTCCTGGGGAATGGGAATCTAAAAGGAAGTTTTGAGAAAAGACAGCAACAATGAAAACAGCCAACATGTCTTCTTTCACTTCCAAACACTACCCACATGAAACCAGCAGCTCCCTCCTGTCTATAACACTTCTCGATTTTCTTCTCAGATAGACAACCTAAGTAATAATGAATAATCTAGAAAAACAAACCACAAAGCAAATAAGTATGCTCCCATTTTTAAAACAGAAGGAAACTATTCTGTAAAATTCAGTATCATAAAATACAAAAGAAACTATGAAAATATGCCACAGCAAAGAAGACTGTAAGAGGCATGACAACAAAACATACTAACTGATCTCAGGACAGATCTCAGACTGACAAGTTTTTCAGGATGAACCTGGCTATATTAATGGAATGTTATGTGATACACACACAATGAGCTGGCTGCCACAGTCAGTCTGCTCACCCACAGTTCCTATGTCTGGTGTGCCAAGAACACTAAGGCACACTCAGCAGACTCAACTATACAATGCATTCGGTATTACCAACTGTAACCACTATTAGATCTCTAGAACTTACTCTCTGCAACTGAAATGTTGTACCCTTCAAGCAACATTCCCTCACTTCTCCCGTCCTCTACACTTGACACCTATGTTTTCCCATTGTCAGAAGGACTGTTTACTAATTCCACTGCAACATTTGTCTTTCTAAGCCTGGCTTGTTAGCATAATGGTTTCTCTATATAGCTAGGTATTCACAACTGCCAGCATTTCCTTCTTTATAATAATATAATATTCCTCTGTGTGTGTGTGTGTGTGTGTGTGTGCGTGTGTCTGTGTCTGTGTCTGTCTGTCTCTTTGTGTGCCCACTCTGTTGACAGACTTAGGCTGCTTCCATATTTAGCTCCTGTGAATATGCTACAATACGCATACCAAATAAGACAAACAAGTGTTAAAACACCTGGAAGGTGGTAACTTGATTGTATGTATATCAGAAGACAGCTATATTCTTCCGAATAACTCAATGAAGCATTTGTGGACAAAGGGTCGTGTCTGGAAATTAGTCTCAAACAGTTGCTAAGCAGAAGCCACACAGATACAAACTAATAAAGTAAGTGAATGGGTAAAATACGTATTTGCTATCTTACTCTAATTCCTGCAGCATCGTTCTTTATTTTCTGGATATTCCCAATGTCTCTGTGCATGAGTGTGTGTGGACAGGATGGCAGGTATGTATGTATGGGCGTGTCTGTGTACTCCTATCTGCTGTCAAGGCTGTGTTTCCAGACTTTCGAATATCTACCTTCAGCCCCATCGCATACTCCTTTCTTTGGGCTAGGAACTGGTTCATGCTAATCCAATGACAAAATGTTTGGGTCTTTCAGTCAGTGGCTGAAAAGCAACTTTTCTCCTCGAACATGGTTCAAGAAACACTAGCCCTGTCTGCTGCTGAAATTGTCCAACAGACATCTAAAAGATGTACTTCCAACAGCAATACTAAAGAAACTCAGTCCTTGGTTACATCAATAAGCAGCTCAATCAACCTAAAGCCCAGCCTAACAACATCTTTACCAAAGGCATGAGCCAACAATGCAGCTCTGAACAAATGACACTGTAAATCACCATTACTGCTTCTATAAAAGATCTAGATAGAAAAAAAGGAGAAAAGAATAGAAATAAAGGAGGGAGGGAAGAAAAAAAGAAAGCCATCAGACTAGAAACCTAGTTTTCATTTATTTTATGTACAGTGGCTGGCCCCAGTAGAACACTTTCTATTTAAGGAAAGCAAACTCAGGATTAAAACATCAATAGGTAACCTAATCATGTAATAACAGAAAAACCTGTAATTTTTACTTTCTTTGGTATGTTTTAACTTAGCCATAAGTGAGTAAGAATCTGATGATATATAGGAGTGTAAGTCTCATGGATGAACCACATTAACTTCTTCAGCAGAACCAAAGGATCAACCCCAAGTGACTATTTTCAATTACAGGTTTTAATTATTTTTGTCAAATAATCTACACTCGTGAAACTGGCAAAACTGTTTGCCAGCTTCAGTAGGTCACACACTTAGCAATACTTTGTGAGGCAGGGGTACAGTGTAGGGCAGAACACTTACCTAATACAAAGCAAGGCCTTGATTCAATACCCAACACCACAAAAACAAAAGCCAAACAAACATAAAGAACAATGCAATAAGACACAAAAATAAGCCCTTGTCCTCTTTCCACAGACAATAACCCAGATTTACCGTTTTAATGTCTGCGACCTCTGTGTTGCTGCTGTCTGAACTGCATTCTGACATTGTGATAGTTATTGGAAAATCACAGCATGCCCAAGCTTCTGCTCTAAAACAAATGTAGAAACAGTCAAGTATAAGATTCCCATAAACCAAAGGCACACACCAGAGTCCCACTCAGATGAGGAGCTCAATAACAGGTTATTATTTTGTATCAACTTTTAAACAAAAGACATTTGGGATATTTCAGAATGCCAAGTCTTCTTCTAAAACAAAGAACAAAGAGTGAGCAGCAACAAAGGCAAGCCTAACCAACAGAGAGAAAAACAACAGCCACGCTCCAGAAAAGATTTCAAAAATACATGTGACTCAAACATTAAAGATCACGCTTTACATATTACAGAAAAGTAAAATAGTAATGACGCATTACTATCTAGGTTCCCATTAAGAAAAACAAACAAAGATCACTAGAAGTACTTGACTGAGAAATCCAAATAACCTATAATAAGTCTTTAGTGTGTGCCCGAAAGCCAACAGTAATTCCAATTTAACAAATGAGTTAAAAACAAGCTCCAAGGACTGTTAAACCTATTCTATTCACTTGTCATCAGATTGGCTTATAAGACAATTCAAGGCTAGAATGACAATGCTAGTGTTGAAAAGAAATTTAAATCTGGGATGCCTTTCCTAAGTTATTATTATGATTCAAAAACAAAGAATGCATGAGGAATTGATATGAAAAGCTTAATGAGATCAACAAACACTGATCTTCTTTGCTTTATCACTGGTCTTAAGCTTGTTAGCTGACACCATCTACACTGCCAACATGAAGGTAAACCCTCATTTTGTACACATTTTTTTTGTTTTGTTTTTTTGCTAGCTAGCTGTTAATAAATCAGACTGGGACAACCTTAACACTACTTTAATAGATATATATTTACCTCGAAATGCTGACTCTAAGTTCTTTCAGAGTTTCCAAGTCTGTATTTATGCATACCCTAGGTAACCTAAAAGCAATCAGAGAGAGTATTTTAGAAGAGACAACTCATTTAAAACAAAAAATAACCATTAAGAAATTGACTAGTTAACAAATTAGCTACTTGATAATTTTTATAATTAACATCAGAATAAACACCTTTACAAAATTATCTACTAAAAGAAACAGTACATGACTGAAATAGCTGCCTGTTAAAAATAAGTATTACATTCTAATACAAGTGTAAAAAGGAAGCAAGCTTGTTATACAATCCTTTTAGGTACAAGGGAAAATTCATGGCACAGCACAGCAAATTTCCCTAGTAAGATCTGCCTGTAGAATGGCTAAAATCAAAAATACCAATGACAGTTTATGCTGGAGAGCATGTGGAGAAAGGGGAACACTCTTCCACTGCTGGTGGGAGTGCCAACTCATACAGCCACTTTGGAACTCAGTATGGAGATTCCTCAGGGAAATGGGAATCAGTCTACCACAAGATCCAGCAATTCCACTCTTAGGCATATACCCAAAAGATGCGCACTCATACAACAAGGACAACTGTTCCACTATGTTCATAGCAGCATTATTTGTAATAGCCAGAACCTGGAAGCAACCTAGATGCCCCTCAACTGAAGAGTGGATAGAGAAAATGTGGCACATTTACACAATGGAGTACTACTCATTGGAAAAATAAAACAATGGAATCCTGAAATTTGCAGGCAAATGGATGACACTAGAAGAAACCATCCTGAGTGAGGTAACCCAGCCACAAAAAGACAAACACGATATGGATTTTAGACATGGAGTAGGGGAGTGCCAGCCTACAATCCCACTGCCAGAGAGTCTGGGAAACAGGGGTGATTCTAAGAGAGATATGCATGGTACCCCTGAGAAGGGGAATGGGACAGGATCTCCTGAACAGATTGGGAGCATGGGGGGGGCGGGGACAGGGAGCTGGGAAAAAGACAAGGAGAGAAGAGGAGGGGCGAGGAGGACATGGGGAAGCAGGAAGGATGAGAGATATCAAAATAGAGGGAGTCATGATAGGTTTGAGGAGAGATCTGGCACTAATGAGAGTTCCAGAGATCTACAAGGATGACACCAACTGGCAATCTAAGCAATAGTGGAGAGGCTACCTTAAATGCCCCCCTCCTATAATGAGATTGATGACTACCTTATATGCCATCCTAGAGCCTTCATCCCGTGGCTGAAGGAATCAGAGGCAGACACCCACAGCTAAACACTGAACTGCAATCCTGGAATCCAGTTGCAGAGAGGGAGGAATGGTGAGCAAAGGGGCCAAGACCTGGGGCTGGTGAAACCCACAGAAACAGCTGACCTGAACAAAGAGGAGCTCATGGACCTCAGACTGATGGGACTGATCCAGATCCCCTAAATTTGGGTGTCAATGAGGAAGCCTCAGTAATCTGTGGCACCTCAGGTAGTATATCAGTATTTATCCCTGGCATCCGAATGGACTTTGGGAGCCCATTCCACATGGAGGGATGCTCTCTCAGCCAGGACACATGGGGGATGGCCTAGACCCTGCCCAGATGATATGATAGACTTTGGATAGCCCCTATGGAGGGACTCACCCTCCCTGGAAAGCAGAGAGGGGATTGGATAAGGGGTTTGGGTGCAGGGGAGGAGAGGAGGGAGAGGGAGCTGGGATTGACATGTGAAGCTAGCTTGTATGTAATTTAAATAAATAAATAAATCTGCCTGTAAGCCTACTTAATGAACACTATGACAAATCTTCAGTACCATGTGTCTTTCCTACCTCTCAGAATGTCTGTCTTCTAAGGCTATCTCATCCTTCACTGGATTTTTAATCATATTATATGCGCCACCCAATAAGATGCCAAGCCCATGCACAGCCACATGGCAGTAGGATATGGTCCATGAATGAAGCTGTACGAGTAGATTTCTGAGACCTCCTGAGAAGACTCAAGTAAAGAGTCTTGTAATCTCTGTTCCTCCATAGCATGGGTTGTTCTTCCATGTACTTTCAGGTACACCAGCTAGGAGTGAGTTCACTTTAGATTACTAATTACAACTAGCTATTGGTATTTATTTAGATGCCTCTCTGGAAAACAAACAAACAAACAAACAAAACATGTTTTTGCTAACTGTGGCTTGTCCTTGTGGCTGCACAACTTACTGATGTGACTCTTAAACTGTCTGATGCTCTGAATAAAGTTGGCTATCACATGAGACTTTACCCCTCACTTGCTGGCTCCATTCTCCCAGGTCCCACTGCCTCTAGAGGTGGTAAACAATGTTTCAGACCTGCCTGTTTACAGCAATGCTCTAACCAAAAGTCAAGTCATCCAGTATAAGATTATCTGGTTATCTTGTTACATCACTAGGCAATGTATACACATAGAGAGTCCATCTGGAAAGTATAGGATAGTGACTTTTGTTGATAATAAAAATTTAAGTGGTTATCTAATCTGTAAAATCCCATTTCATAGGCCCCTTTAAGATAAGCTCCAAATGATACAGGTTTGAATACAAACAAAAAACTCCCATTAGCACCCAGCTATGCATGGGTGCAGTTAGAAACAAACAGCTCTTCCATCCCGAGTATGAATTTTCAAAGATGTTAACAGAATTTCAGATGATACGGGTTTGAATACAAACAAAAAACTCCCATTACCACCCAGCTATGCATGGGTACAGTTAGAAACAAACACCTCTTCCATCCCGAGTATGAATTTTCAAAGATGTTAACAGAATTTCAGAGATTCTGTCACTACTAACTAACTTTACAGATTTAAATCACACTCACCCTACTCTTGAGCTCCTAATGTACAACTTCCATAAAGCCACTGGTAAGCAAGCAGGAGGACTCAGCAGGAGCACTACAGCATTACATGCAGTCAAACTTGTTAGCACTGAAAGGGCCCAGCAGCAAAGGTGCTATGGTGGATCCAAACACTCACAGCAAGCCAGTCTAGCTCAGGAGCCCCATGGGGGATCCAAACACTCACAGCAAGCCAGTCTAGCTCAGCAAGCTGGCCCAGACGACCCAGCACCAGCACAGGAGCCCAAGTGACAGCTTGAGATGATCACTTGGCACAAGGTGAAGAGAATTAGTTTCTATAAATCTACCTGCTTGTTTTCAGAATTCTCTTCTTTCCCTTCAGTGTGCTGTAACAGGACCTATTAGTCACATAGGTCCTGTTATAGCACCTGTTCTCAACTCCAACAAGTTTCCCACAAAAGAATGCCGACTGCCTTGTAACCAAGTTTGCTCACAGAAGTCACCACTGCTCCTTACCTTGCTCACAGATTCTAAGCTATCGCAACATCAATTCTTAGGACCTTCTTGCTTCCTGTTTGTGGGTTTGGATTTATAGATACCACTTAAGTACATAAGGCTAACAATCTTCCTGTCTTCAGAGTTGGCCTTGATACACACTGGCCTAGTTTAATGTACTCAATAGTGAAACTATTTTCTTTTTTTACTTTTACCTCTGTGCAGAGAAGTTCTGTTTTGGAAGACTTGTTTCTCCAACATGGCTTTAAAACATTTTAAATACAGCCCAATTCTCAAGCAAAACTCATGCCAAATATCAAATTTCACTTCTTGGAACTTAAGTACCAGAAACCCTAAAACATGTTCTTCAACAGCACAGAGGGAAAGTTTAAAAATAAAAACGGAACAAAGTAGGCCAACATTGCTACAGCAAAAAGGAACTCACTCCCAAATCCCCTCTTCTTCTAAGTTAGTCAGGACAATGGCTCAGTTGTCCTTAGCAAGGCCAAGTCAAGTCCAGGCTTTGACCTCTTCACACTAACGTAGTCAGCTGTCTTCGCAGCAGGCACCATGAGTGTGAATAATGTAGAACATAGGGTTTTTTTTTGGTATCTGAATCCAGCAAGGCACCCATCAGATAGGTCAAGGTATGCGCATGTCAAGTACAACTACCCCTCTAATATTGTTTCCTGGCCCCTAAAACAGGAACATATATTATGATGAAATGAGATCTTAAGCTTGGTAAAAGGAACATAGAACTACACTTCTTAACCTAAATTTTAAAGAATTCTTAAAGAAAAGCCTAAAATACAATTAACATTCAACACAGAAAATACAAATTTGTGTGTAACATAAAGCACAAGACTTTACATAGTATTTTCAGCCAGATTAACCTCAAGAAAACACAGATTTACAACAGCAATCAAAACATACCACCTTTAAACATGCACCTGTGGCCCAGAGATTGAGTTCAAGCATTAACTAAGGAGCAACAGATTTAGGAAAAGGTCTCTCCTTCCCCTTTCTACCAAAAATTAAGGTATAAATCCCTCCAACCTGCTTTAAAGGGAAGAGATCAAGTCCAATACTAGCAGACAGAGATGGCCCCATGATAGTCGGGATGAACAAACTTCAACCTTTAGCCTCCACGAGTTCCTTCTCAATACTTTTAGATACCACCTATAATTTTCCAGCCCTAAAGGCCCAATCCTCTTTCTTATTATTTCACATTTTATCACACTTAGCTGTGACTGTAAATAAACCAGGCTAGCTGGCCAGTGAGCTCTGGTGAGCTGTCTGTCTCTGTCCCCTTTAGCTTGGAGATTACATGAAGGCCCAGCAAGGGTTCTTACCCAGGAGCCATCTCCCCAGTCCCATTTGGTTTTTTTATTTATTACTTATTTTTTCTTCTTTATTTTCAATTTATGTGTATGGTGTTTTGCTTGCATGTAGTTACCCCATCTTCACAGCAGGTGCAATGATCACCAATTTTTAATTACAGACCATCATTAAGATCTGCTTGGGTGTTAGTGAAACCCTGAGAAAGGAAAGAGATCATAGGAAGAGACTTCGCAGAACACTGAGGACTGACCAGTGCCACACCCACGGCCTTTCTATACATTTATTTACATTTTAAATTCCCCTACAATTTGAGAATGTATTATTTCAGAAATGAAGAATAAACTTTCAAACTAGGGGTGATCTGTAACAATACAATAGTTAAAGATCTGAAGAAATACAAGTTTGATTAAAAACAAAAACAAAAAAACTTCTTAAACCACTGAGTGTAGTAAAATTTATCCCAGAATCTGTCATTCACAATTTCATTTTATGCCCTTCTCTACAAGCACAACAAAGTTCTGGAGTTTTCTAAATTTATAATATAAGTGATTTTCATTATCAGTACAGTGGTAGTGTTGGTTTTGATTTATCTGATACATGTTTCATGTAGACCAGGCTGGCCTCAAAGTCACTATGTAACCAAGGGTAACCCTGAACTGATTCTCCTGCATCCACTTCCCAACATGTGGGGACCATCAGGACTGGCTCTGTGTAACATGAATATATTATGCTTAGATTTTCATTATATTGTCCCAAATGAAGTTTAATGTAAGTAAGATGTCATTTTTAACAAGTTCAACACAGCAAAACTGTCCACGTAGAAGTATCCCTAAGCTCCAGTCAATTGCCTACTTCCTTGAGCCCCTCTCAGGAAAATGACATGGTAGCCCCGGAAGAGCACAGACCCCTCCATACCTTTCCAAATGCCTTTGATGACAGCTACTCTGCAGTTTTGTTTTGAGAGGTAAATACTTAACACACCACCACTAACTTTCAAGGTAAGTTTCAGGCTCGCACTTGATTCTAAGTCTCTGTACCTTACTCTTAACACCGTGGAACAAATGCGCGCGCGCGCACACACACACACACACACACACGGGGGGGGGCCGAGGCAGAGACAGAGAGAGACCACTTAAGAAGGAGTTAATCCTGCAAAGCAAATCAAAGTGACTACCATATGTAGTGGATGTTTAATAAATATGAAAAGACAGCAAAGCTCCAGGCAAGAATAAAGCTGTGTAGCACCTGCCCATCTGTCCTCCTCACAACACAGTCAATTACCACTCCCTATCACCCATTCACACAGCTCATGCCAGTTTTCTCTAAGAGACTGTCACCGTCCCCATGCATGGGCTATCTAACCATCCACTCAGGTTCTATTCCTACAATGCCTTCCAAACTCTCAAGATCTCTGAATAGAAAGAACCTCATCCTCACTTACAATCCTACTAGCTACCACTGTCCATGACTTAATATGCTCATCTGGTAACCTACTGTGAATTCCAAACTATGTCTGGAATGCAGGAAAGCAATATTTGTAATTCACTGTCACTTATTAATTCTAAGAATAAACTACAGCTCCAGTACTTCCTACATTCTGTAATCCACTCAACAAACAGCACTAGAGAGGCTGGGGCAGGATTCCAAATTCAAGGCCAGTCTGAGGACATGGGGAAACCCCTGTCTTTAAAACACACACACATACACACACACACACACACACACACACACACACACACACACACACAAACTCTCTTGCTCTAACCTTAAATTCATGTCTATTAAGACACAAGCAGCTTTCTGTAGTTAAAATACAAAACTCAGTTTAGATATCTGCTATTTCCACAAGACTTTAAACAACCTGAATTATTTTAACAGGTTAACATCTCCCCCCTTGACACTCCAAGCCCCATGGAATGGCTACAATGAAACTGTCAAAGCTATAGAGTATCACTCTGCACAGCAATCAACGCAACATCATACAACTACAGCTATTCTCTTCTGCCTCAAGCAACTGTTAACTACTCAAAGTTTGCTTCTACATTAATAAAAGGTGATCTGGGTCTATCCTTGAAGACAGTGGAAGACTGAGATGAAACTTTTCTACTCAAAATACAATGTCTGAATCCAATCACCAGGAAACAAAACCAAATCTGATACTCATCTCACAAAACTGAGACCCTTGCAGATTAAGAAACAGGACAACTAAGTGAAATGCACAATCCTAAAATGAATCTACACAATACCTTACTTCTCTAGTTATATAAGAAGTGGTATTTTAAGAGAAATTATTAATATAGGTTAAGTAAATTTACACCCTAGAAACTACAAGTCCTAGTGTGAATTCTTCACGTGATATAGACAATGCAGGTAAGCATCTTACGTGGGCATTCGCTACTTAGGCCAGGGTCACAATAAGTGCCTACATTAGTGTATATGTTTTTCTTTATATCATTTATATTTTCTTATATCTTTATACATTTAAAATACTATACACATACACACATATACATACACATACACACGCATGAAGATACAGTTGAAATAGCTCATAAACTCCCAATGAAACCAGTTTTGCAAAGCTTCAGGCATCCACCTGGAGAGAGGCTGGAAGCTAAAGTCTACTGTAATAAGAAATTACCCTGAAGATCCAAAGTATTGGGAAGCCCCAGTCTACACACCAACTCTGCTCCACAGTGCATACACATTTTAGTTCCTATCACTTCTATCACCAGAAGTTTGTCTTCTACTTAAAATACTCACAATTATGATTAGCCTGACACTACCTGACTTTATTCTATGTAACGAGTACACATAAAGATTTAGACTGGGGGGGGGCTAGATAGAAGGCTCAGCAGTTAAGAGCACTGACTGCCCATTCAGAGGTTCTGAATTCAATTCCCAGCAACCACATGTGGCTCACAACCATCTGTAATGGTGCCTTCTTCAGTCATGCAGGCATACATGCAGGCAAACACTGTATACATGAAAAAGAAATGGAATTTGGGGGTTTTAACCCCCTTTTAATATTTAGTTATACAGCATACTATCCTGAAGAAATGGGCAGCATCAATACAGTGGCATATGCAGGTAACAAAGTATAAGCATGACCACGGACAGGCTTCTCAATGCACTGCACACTGTTTGCTATACTAGAGTGCAGCAAAGTTAGGAGTCTGTCAGATTCAGTCAGCAACACCAAGCTACACTAGAACAGACAGAACGCCATCTCTAAGATGCTACCAAACCACCCAAGGCTTTCTCTAGTGTTCAAACCTTACTTCCAAGGCCTCCAGCCTTCATGCTCTGCCCAGAAAGTCTCGGTTCCATCACCTCCATGTTGTCAGCCAACAATTGTAAGGTTTGGCAAAGGTAATCTACCCAGATCTTATTTTTAATGTACTGTCTCAGTCTGAAATGGAGAAGTCCCTAGATTATGGGGTGTTTAAGAGATTACTACTGTAAGGTATCTGAAAGATCTAGCATACTTATGAGAAAAAACAAAAATAAAACAGCAGCACAGGTTGATTTGCCCTTAATGACAAACCAAATTACAGAAGCAAAGTCAACTAGAATAGAACGTGAGCCTTGGTGCTCTGAGGCAGAATCTCACTATGTAGCCCCAGTTGGCTTTGACTTCATGATCCTCCTGCCTCCCAAGTGCTGGAATTTCAGGTGTGTGCTGCTGTCATTTCAGCTTGGCCATAGGTACTTATTTGTTATTGTTTTCAGGCAGTGTTTCTCTGTGTAGGCCTTACTGTCTTGGAACTTGCTCTGTACACTAGGCTGGTCTTCAACTCACAGAAATTAACCTGCCTCTGCCTCCCAAGTGCTAGGATTAAAGGCAGGGGACGCCACTACTCAACTGACCATATGTTTTCCAATCATGCCTTAGTTTCCACTATCAGTTAAGTTTCAAGCATATCTGTCCTGAGGATATTCAGAATTTTGTCCCTATATTAGCCTATTACTTGTTTATGAGTAGACACAGCCTAACTCAAATGTCTACTGACTTGCCTGTATCTCCTATTATTTTATATAAAATTATAGGTATAGATGCATATTTTGGGAGGGGGGATAAGTCATATATCCCATTGAACCAGAAGTGTCAGGTCAAACAATACATAAAAAGGCTTATGCCAAATTGAAGTACTATCTCAGAGTAGCACACTTATTCATGCATCACAGGTGAAGAAGGGTATTTGGGGCAAGTTGAAGACACTTAAGACACACACCTGGTAACACTGTTACAGAGATACAACTGACCAGTGTAGAAGAGCCTTGTAGAAAACTGTCTAAGCAGCAAGGCCCTATTGCTGAAGACAACATCTACACAACTCATTGAACGTGGAAAGGTTAAGCTGGTGCCTACACAGAGTTCTCACCCTTATGTGCTAGCATGCTAGCAACTTTTGTACAGGAAGGTACTCTGCATGCTATCAAAGGAGAAATGTAAACACCAACTTGGTTACAAATACTCTGATATACAATGGTGTCCTGCCCGCAAAATATGCTGGTGCAATAGCAAAAAGCTTGTGGGAGTAATCAACCAATATCTGATTTGACTTAAGGCCCATGCTAGGAGCTAGAACCCACAACCAGCACTGCTTGGGTGACCAAAAACCTGAGACTAGATAGGCCAGGAGCCAAATACTTAAATCAAATACTAATGTTCTACTAAAGGAGCATCAATAAATGACTCCTAATGACACTCTGCTATAGTTATAGATCAGTGCCTTGCTCATCCATCATTAGAAAAACTTCCTGAAGCAGATGGGAAAAATTTTGGGACCCAGACAACATGGAAGCAAGGCTTTCTAAATCAACATGATTGACACACAAATGAACTCAGAGACTGAGGCAGCACACACAGGGCCTTCACGGGTCTGCACCAAATGGGGTCCTAGAGCTCAAAGCAAAAGTAGACATATGCCCCCCAGCCCTAAGCCAGAAGCTATCTCCAACAGATAACCACTTGCAAATGATAGCCACTTTTCTCTAAGGGAACCTTAGGGGAGAAACAAACTACTCTTTAGGGTAGGCTACATGCCCAGAAATAAGACAGCCAACACAAAATTAATTCAAGGGTATCTTTGGAGAGTTCTTGTCTCAACATGTGTCAGGGCTTTTAAAGGATTTTTTTCTCTCTCTACACTATAGGTCCTTTTGTATATATTATGGTGTCTAGTTCAGTGTGAACTAGTGGGTCTCAGGGTCTATATCTGTTTCTTGTGCCTTTTCTTGTGTTCTTTTCTTTCTGTTTGTTCTGTCCTACTCTAATGTGTTAGTTTTTGTTTTATCTTATTATATTATGTTTTATGTTATTATTATCCCTTAGAAACCTACTTGTCTTATAATGAGAGACAGAAACAGAAAGGGGGTAGATCTGGATGGGAGGGGAGATGGGAAAGGATGAGGAGAAGTAGAGGAAGGGGAAACTGTAGTCAAAATATATTATGTGGGGGGGAAATGCATTTTCAACAAAAGGGAAAATATACAAAAACTATATGTATATATGTATACATATATATATTTACATCACTTTTGTCATTCCCTTTCTTCCCTCCAGTTCCTCCCATGCCCCCTACTCCCTCTCAAATTGATAACTTTTTATTTGAATATTACTGATACTTACATATGTACATAAATATAAATACAAAAAACTGTCTATGAAATTGTCTTTTTCAGACCATCTTCCATTATAAAACTGGATATGTATTTCAATATTAGTAACACAGGAGTCATGGCATAATCTAGTTACAAGAATATAGACAATACCATCTAAATTTTTTCAAAAATAAGAACTAAGCAGAACTGGGTAGAAAACTATTTCTTCACAGCTTCAAGGAACCAAGAGCTTACTGAGGAGGACATGGAGACTAAGAGGCCACTAAGTGCCCAGTGTGTCTCAGTGATAAGCTACAAGAGTTAGTATTAATACCTGGTCCTCCAACACAGAACATTAGCTCCTAAACACTCTTAAAATGCTACAATAAAGCAATGATGGAGTCATAAATGGATGAAACACACAGCATCACTAAGATGCCACAGATGAGTGAAAGCTGTGCAGCAAGATGTGGGAAAGGAGGGGGACCACAGGCTTGTCCATGTTTACCTTTCTTTTCCAGCTTCGCTGTTCCCAAGTAAAGACAGAAACTTTGACTTCAAGTATCTTCAACTGTTAGATACCTCTATTGTTTACCTTTTCCCTCAGATGGTTAATGATAAACCAGTATAGTGGCCCTCTTTAATCCCAGCAGCTATAAGTCAAAAACAGGAGGATCTCTGCAAGTTCAAGGCCAGCTTGGTCTACATAGTAAGTTCCAGGCATCCCAGGGCTACATAGTGAGATCAGGTCTCACACTGAACGAATGAATGAATGAGTACTTACAAATTTAACTCTTAAGCAGATAGCTTTCTTCCATCAGCTCAAAGGTCAATTTTCAGTCATGCTGGGACTTGAAGCCAGAGCCTCATGTACATCAGGCAAATGCTCTACCACTGAGTTTCAGCCTCAACCCAAAGATTGTGTTTTTAAACTAGCACTCTGCTCTCATTATTTGGATTAAGTGTATTTTTTTTATTCTAAACTGATTGTTTTATAACACCCAAGAAAAAAATTTTAAAACAGGTTTTTAAAATCTTTATCACGCCGGGCGGTGGTGGCACACGCCTTTAATCCCAGCACTCGGGAGGCAGAGGCAGGCGGATCTCTGTGAGTTCGAGGCCAGCCTGGTATACAGAGTGAGTTCCAGGACAGCCTCCAAAACAATACAGATAAACCCTGACTTGTAAAACAAAAACAACAACAAAAAAATCTTTATCACATATACTGATCTTTCACTCAAAAACACAAGCCAGGATTAGCCATTTCAATAATGAAAATGTCTCCAGTAACAGTAAGTCTCCAAGAACTGCAGCAGTTCTCTTCCACAGTTCCAGATACTTCTCCCAGTCTGCAGTGCTCAGTTATGCATAGCTCATGCACAGGCAGAGAAGAGCCCTAGGATGCCAGAGGTATTCCTTCCCACAAGATTTCTACAACCTTCAAAACGTTTTAGAAAGATAAACTAATTTACTTACTCAGCAAAACCAAATACTCTTTTACACAAGTGCTGTGTGTGGCAGTGACAATGAATGTAGTACTTAATTCTTGTGATTCTATAAGCCTCAACATAGCTAAGAACATCCCATGTTACTGTGTGGCTGGCTTCTGTGTCTCAGTAGTCAAGACTCAGCAAGTGGTCAAACTGAAGCTTCATACCTAAAAGCTACCTAGGCCTCTTCAATGTCCTGTCATCTCATCTTAGTCACCGATTTGTATGTACGAGAGCATCAGATCAGGAGTACCAACAATTAGTCAGCCATTTTAGAGAAAAGGGAAAGTCACGGTGGACCAGATACTCAACAAAGGCTTTCTCACATGGCCAAAATTTCCCATTTCTCTAAAGACACCTCAAACATACACTTTTCTTTCTATTCTCTTTTATTTATCAGGTCCAAACACTACACAACAGTCCTACTTTTTCACCCAACACAGACTCCTGAAGGCCAGCAAAATTACCACTGTTTGCAAAGTCCTGACTGACTCTATTGCCCCAGAGGGTACATTCATCAATACCTCTTATCTGCCACCAGTCAAAACCTGCATGCCTCAATGGATACTTCAACTCCAGTGGAGATGACATTACCAGAACTACACATGCCACCTTACCAATGCCTTCTGACTCTGCCTTCTGCTTTTGACTGGGTTTCTTCATAAGGGCATGGGGGAAATGTTTATCACCTATAAGGGTCAATATTGTCTCCATACACTGACAATGTTATTTGTGGAAGAAGTCAAACAATTAATCCCTGTTCAAAAAAGGGGTTAACTAGTACACTTCCTTCATTAATCGGAACTATAATTAGCCCTGGTTCTTCTTTCACTTTGGCAAATTAAAACAAAACAAAAAATCAAAAGTACTTGAGTTACATGTAAGCTGTGAATTATCCTTATTTGAAGCTCTTTACCTAATTCTCCCATCCATGGACTATTCTATACCTGCACTAGTATTTTCATAGTTCTCTAAAACACCTTTTTATTATCATAAGGATATCCTACATCCTATCTCAAGAACATATAATTATTACACAAATGCTCATTTATGTACAGAATTTTTCTAAAACTACAGTCTCTTTAGCAGAAAAGTTGGTAATCATCAAAGAATCAGGAGACAAGGGCTAAAGGGTCCAAGCAGCACAGACTAAAGAAGTAGAATACTACAGAAATATTGTTAACTCCAAAGAGTACAGTCTATTTTGAAGATATTGCAAAGAAACCTGTAAATAAAAGCCAGCACAACACATACACACACACACACACACACACACACCTCCCTCCCTCCCTCCCTCCCTCCCTCCCTCCCTCCCTACCTGTTGGTTTTCAGGATGAGCTGAATTCTTGAATGCCCAAACAACAGAGCCTAAGATAAACAAAATAATCACCTGGCTTCAACTTTCTATTTGTACAAGGTACACAGAAACCTAGCAGCCCCTTCCTCTAGCTCCATCAGGACATAACAGCCTGCTGATCCACTGAACAAATTCTGTGATAAGAATCCCTGTTTGCCTTACTGTGATAAGAACAAAGAGTCTAAAAGTCAGTAACCCGTGGACTTGGAGAAGATTCTAGTCTTTTATTGACACAGAGGAACTATTTGTAGAAGATTAAGAGTCTGAAAGAAACCTTAGCCTAGTGTTTTGATCTAATGACCAACAAGCAATCTGACCACTTTGGGGTATATGCCCAAAAGAAGTGATGACAGCAGGCCTCAAGCACAGGCATTCATATCAGTGCTCACATCTTCAAAGTTGAAAATACAGAACTGGGAAAATGTATACTCAGCAAATCAAACTTTCTAACTCAACAACAAAGTACAGTGTAAGGTATCATTGGTACCCTTCATGATCACATGGCTGACTAGGACAGGAAAAAGAATCAAAAATTCCAAATGTAAAGAGTAGTTTCTACTGTAACTGTACATTTTCACACGTCTTAAAGCTAAAACATGTCAAGATAAACCATTACAAGCTAGGGACCATCTGTACATACCAGAGAATATCAGTCAACCTTCCAAAGTGAGGAATCTGATGCATGCATGACATGAAACCCAACTATACTATGTAGGTGTACTATAGCAGCACAAGCACAAATACTGAATGACTATACTTACATACCTTTCCTAGCACAGCCAAACTCAGAGAAGGAAAAGAGAATAGTGGTCGCTTAGGAATGAAGGGCAGGATGTGGGGTGTTTAGGTGGGGAAAGTGCCCCAGTGAGAAGTTTAGAGACGGATGGTGGTAATAACTACAAAAATGGGGATGCAATTGCAATGTACACTTAATGGCTAAAGGTGCAATCGTGTGTGTTCTGTCACATTTTAAAGCAACTGGAAACACTTAGAAAAGCAGAAGTGACCCAAACACTCACAGTTTGACAGAGCTTCACTCACTCCACCTATATTAACTGAGGACGGATCACACTTTGTGCAGATTACCTACAGTCCACTTGTACAGCACACTTTGAGGAGCAGGCACGCTGGTATTCTGGAACCAAACCATGATTCAGCCAAGGCTCAGGCAGACCAAAGAAATCATCACTGACTTCTCACTTCCCTGGCATATAAAATCAGGAAGGAGGTCACTATATCAATGAGATTCAATGAGAAAGTGTGAAAAGAACCTGACGCAGCTTGGCACACACTGATGTGTGCCCTCCATCAGTGTGTCCTCCATACCGGCCACAGACAAGCATGTGTAGGCTGTAGAGAGGGAATAAAAACGAGCACACCCACCTTCTCAAATGATGTCACCATCTCACATCATCAGACAGCAGCAAAGAGTAAGATATGGCAATGCTATAACACAATGCTATAAAGTTATCCTGCCTGGAAAGCAGAACTAAAGCTAAACACTATTCATTATACACCACCACAAAAATCACTATCCAATCAGAACCAAGAGAGTCAGGCCTGGTGGTGCCTGCGTGTAATCCCAGCACCAGAGAGACTGAGTGAGGCAGAAGCATCCTTTGAGTTCAAGGAAAACAGAAATAAGCTACATCAAAACATTTCCTAAAACCAAGACAAGAAAGCTCAACCACAGGAAGCGAGCCTAGCTATAAAACTGCTACCCAGAAATGCTACCATAAATGAAGTATTCAGCATGGGAAGTAGCTTCAGGGTCTTTTATCACCCAGCTGAAACCAAGAGTCATCCTCTGGAGTCATGAGCAAATTCACAGACTTAGGCTATGACCATACTGAAAGCAACCTTTGGTGCTGACAGTTCAAATAAAATACGCTCTCCGTTCATGAGCATGTGCACTGATACCGTGTGCCACAGGTTGCCTGAAAGACACTAGGCAAAAGAGTCTTACAGAACTCAGTTCCCAAAGATGCCAGTAATATCAAAACGACACATGCCTCGCCCAGAATTCAGCTTTTAATAAATTTGTGAGCTCGTGGTTACAACGTAAACTTTACTTAGAAAATTTAATGCTTATGCCAACGAATTTCCAACCTTGTGAACGCATTTTACAGTAGGTTTCATTTTTCCCGAAGTTGCTCAACTTTTGCACCCTTTTCTAGTGACTGATAGTGGGGCTCCTCAGAAAACTGACAATCAGGGCTTCGAAGACTCAGAAACTCAGGCAGGGGTGAGCTCCCAAGTAGTTTTCTTTCATCAGATGAAGGTTTCCAACCCTTGGTCATCATAATACGACATCATATATTAGTAACTTAACCCTTTAACTACAACTCTCCACACAAAAGCAAGACCTACAGATCAAAGACTTCCCAATCACCCCTTAAAGCAAATCTTCAGGACACTGGCGCTGTCCTGCAGGCACAGTCACAAGGGCAGCTCAGCTCTGCTAGGGCAATCCACACCAATACGCTGTGCTAGCTTGAAATGCACACCAATTTGTCCAATGAAAGCCCCTTCGCAGGGTTAAGACACAGCGACCCGAGAGGGGAGGGGGCAAAAAAGATGGCCCCGGCCACCAGCCAATAAACACACAACAATCCTTCCCAGGGCTCCAGCCGGCACCTCGCCCGAGGCCTTGTCCCCCTCCTGGTCCTCTGAGGTAGGTGTTCAGGGGTCCCGCGCCATTCGGCAGGCCGGGTCGTTCCCGGGGACGCCGGCCCGCGTGTGCACCTCCGGGTTTCGAACGCCGACCAGGACCTGTCAAAGCCCGCTCCTCCCAGGGCGGGGGCGCCGAGAGGCCCCGGCTCCGAGTCCCTGGGGTGCCCGAGGTCCGCGTGGACCGTCTCCCGCCCCAGCTCAGCGTCGCGGCCTGCTCCCGGCGCCCGCGCGGGCCTCGCTCGAGAGGCGGGCCGGGCATTGCAGTCCCCCGGGCCCGGACACAAAGCGGCCCAGGGAGAGCCCGCCTCACCTGCAGCACTGGGCGCCGCGGGCCTTCCAGAACCATCGGACCCCGCTCCGGCGCGCGCGTCACAGGCCAGGCCTCCCGGTGCCGCCCGGCGCCGCCGCCGCCGCCGCCATTTCCTGCCGCTCGCCGTCGCCTCGTCCCCGCTGTCAGGTTACTCCATTTACCTGAGCCCGGAGCCGCCCGCGCCTCACCGCGCCGCGCCCCGACCCCCTCCCGCCCGCGCCTGCGGAGACTGCGCAGCGCCCTGCTCGCCCGCAGCCCGCGCTCGGCCCGCGGCGACGGCGCACAGCGGCTTGGAGAATCCCACCGGCGTCGCGCCGCCGCTCCGCGCCCCCTCGCTTGCTCGCCCCGCGGCCACATGAAAGCCGCCCTGTGATTGGACGGAGTGCGGAGGTGAAAGGTTAATCCTGGCCCTCCAGCCACTCAGGAGCTAGGAAACAGCAGTCTCGGGCCGAGGCGGCGTCTGCGGCCCAATGCGAAGACCTAGCTGTGTAAGGCAGTTAGCCCAGCCGGGCAGCGGTGCTTCTGACCCCGCCGCAGCTACCGCTGTCGCCGCCGCGGGCCACGCAGTCTGGGCTTGGTCAAGAGGAGCCTCTCAGCGCTTGGGGACACCCCCCCCCCTTGATGGTGACACCTTGACGGGCCCATGTCCCTGATCACAAGCCCTGCTGCTCGGCCTTTGGGTCCTCAGAATTGAACCAACCCTTGGACATCCAGAAAATGTTGTCGGTGTGCAAAGGCTTGGTCTGAGCCTTCTGCCGCTCCTCCTTGCTCAGAGGCTAACTTAAAAAACCATCTTAGTGATGGCCTCTCCCTGCTTCCCGATGCAGGCATCTCTTCCAGATGATCTGTTGGCATTTCGGTTGGATCGGGATGGGGATGGGTCAGGTATCCTGGAGCTGGGGAGCCACAGAATACTGAGTGTTACATAGCTCAGATGGAAAGGTATCCTGGAGCTCCGGAGCCAAGGACCACCACAGGTTGCAGTAAGTTTAGCTGCTTACAGCCTTGCCTCAGAGAAAGGCTTCCAGGGTGTATCCGCTCCGGTGGGACAGGGTCTCCCAGCTGGGGATGTTCACCCAGTGTAACAGTTTTACTGGGCAGGAGGTTTCTCTGACGAAGTTGCTACCGTTCAGCTCTGCTTCTGGAGAGCAGAGAGCGGAGCTCTGCCAAGGGAAGGTTTCCCCAGCAAGTGTTACAGCCCTGCTTGCTCTGCTCTGTCTGCTCTGTCCAGGGTTGCCTCTGTTCTGTCGCCACTGCAAAAGATCTTCACCCAAAGCTCATCCAAGGGGTTTATTGGGAGGGAAGGATCCAGGAGAGTGGCTGCCCTCTGCCAGAGTGACAGAGGACAGCTGGGTAGAACAGCCACAAGCTGAATAGACACAGGGTTTATATAGGGCTTCCAGGGTGGGGATTGGTCAGATTTTAGTGCTGAGCTCAGATTGGCTAGAACTCTGCTTAGGGATTGGTTAGTTTTCTACACAGGGTTAGGGTCAGATTTGGCTCTGGTTTCAGGGCCAAAGTGTGTTTCTTTCTCTGGTCCTTTTTAGCTCCATTTTTAGGGCCAGGGTGCATTTCTTTCACTGGCTCTGATTCCAGGGACAAAGTGTGTTTCTTTGGCTCTGCTCAGGGTGTGTTTCGTTGACTGGTCCCTTTTCCCTACAATCTCCCCCACAGTCTGCTATACTCCAGGTGAGGGAGGGACGGGAACTAGCACCTGGCTTCTTTCTGTTCCTGGAAGCACTTAGTGGCAGCTTACCTTCCTCACTGGGGGGCTGTTACCTGTCTGAATTAAGGTGGAGGCATGATTTGCTACTCTTTATGCTTACAGGTTGCAGTGGTTTATTTGTTAGAATGAGCACGAATCATCTGTTTGATTTTTCGTTACTATGATTTTGAAACCAGGTCTCACTGTGTCGATCAGACTGCCTCCACCTCCCCGTTGTTGGATGTATACCACCTGATAAGTAAAAAATAGCCCCCGGTAGTGGATAACTCCGCCAATGCAACAAGCCAATCGAGCCGAATTAAAGTCCAGATTTTAATCTGAGCAAAACATTCCCGCGTGGTCACTGGAAAAGAAGGGAAACCCTGAGGCTGCTCCCAAGGGGTGGGCCTTAAATACCCTCCAGAAAGGTATTTAACCTGCTTGGTGGTTTCTCAGGGGCAGGGTCTGGTGAGAAACAGAGAGGTGAGAGTTCTACCTTAACAGCACCATGCCTAACTTAAAAATAAAAGGGGGAGGTCTGTTCATGTATGTGTATGACTGAGAGTACACCTGAGATGTCTGGCTTAGAGCTAGGGTCCTCATGACTTCACACCAAATGCTCCTAACCTCTGAGGCAGCTCTCCAGCCCCCTGTGCTTTCTCCGTTGTGAGCAGTTTTTAACTTTCCTTGGCTGGCACTGAATTTAAGGCTCACAGGCCTGTATACCTTATGTGTTCCCATTTTAACAAGGTAAAAACACCAGAGTAACCTCCAGGAAGTCTGCAGCTAAGGTATGAGCAACTGAGCTTTGAGTCTTACACTGTCTTCTGAGCTGGTATGTTCGCTCCGTCCTGTGCTCAAATATTGGTCATGTATTTATCATGAATTGCCTTGACCATTAACCTGAACATCATGGGTCAATTAGGGAACAAAGTGGTTTGGGCTGACCACATTTACAAAATGATGTTTCTCAATTTAAAGAGCACTGCAGACAATAGATCTCCCCAGTGAAGACATAAAGGGTTTTTTAAGTGGTCCTTCAGTTAATTATTTATTTATTTTTGGTGGGTTTCCCTGTGTAGCTTTAGAGCCTGTCCTGGAACTCACTTTGTAGACCAAGCTGGCCTTGAACTCACAGAGATTTGCCTGCCTCTGCCTCCTGAGTGCTGGGATTAAAGGCATGGGGGGGCAGCTGAAACTGGTCCCTTATAAGCAGAGTGGAATCTAATGAAAGCCTAGGGCCACACTGAGGAATAATACCTGCAGCAGAGTTGTGTACGGGCAAAACTGATGTTTCTTCCTGTTGTCCTTCCATAGTCTCTCAGGACCAGCTTAAAGCCAGCAAGATGACTCAGCCAGTAAAATGCCTGCACTGCCAAGTCTGACAACCTTGAGTTCAAATCCTGGGACCTACCTAAAGGTGGAAAGAGAACTGACCCCTTAAAGTTACCCTCTTACCTCCACACACATTGTTGCATCCTCCTCCCGGCACACACACATCTCCAAAGTAAAAGCTTTTGTTTTTTAAAGCCAGCTGGGCTTATCCATTCGCAAATGTTTCTGATTTTATTGTTCATCTTTAAAATAGCTGGAGATTACTGTGGTCCATCTGTCTTTCAAATTAAAAAATGAGTTTGGACTATCTAAGCACGAGGAGGAGATTGAGATAGCAAATTCACAGATGAAGGCCAGCCTGAGCTACATACCAAGGCCCTGGTACATATATATATATTATATATATATATATATATATATTGTGTGTGTAGATGGATGTGTGCATACCCATAAAGGGTCATCTTGGCTTATGAGTTGGACAGTGTCCTGCTCTCAAGAACATCGCCTTTCAGAAGCACAGCTGCAGCAGGGACTCCTCCCAGGGGCCACCTAACTCACACACTGACCTCCTCTGGAAAGACCCTCACCAACAAGCAACGAATCAAAACGCACCAGTTTCTTCCCATGATTCAGCCTTCTAGTCCTCAGATGCACCTCACTTTCCATCAGGAGTTCCACGTTTTAGAACATCGATATTTGGGACTAATCTTCAAGAACTGTGAATTCGGGGCTCCTGGTCATTGAACCCAGGCCTCATGCATGCTAGGCAAGTGCTTTCTATATACCTTGCTCGGTTTGGGGGTTTTAGAGCTGACCCATAATAAGCTTTGAGTTTTTGCAATATTCAGGACTTTAGCATTTGAGATGCATTGTACAGGGTTATGATCAGCAGCCATGAAAAATAAACAGTAAAAAAAGAGTCTGCTCCCTACACCCATTCTCATGCCCCAAGAGCAAGCCATTGTTTCCTACTCACTCTTCAAACTTGCCTTCACACACAAGTCAAGATACTGATTTATTCTGTCTTCTTCATCTATAAAAACCCCAGTGTGCATTTACTACATCTTGTTTTTAATGTAATATGTACCTGTACAGGAGAGATATCTACCACAGTGTGGAAGAGCTCCTGGGTGTGCTGTAACTAATCTCTGATACAGATGTGCAGACTGTGAGTCTTGCAATTCAACACTGATCCAGTGTTTGGGATGAGGTATGATTCCAAATGATCCCCCACTCCCGGACGCCTACACAATTGCCCCTGTAGCAGCCATCTGTAGCATATCTGGGTTCTGAACTTTCCCATTCCAGTGGTCTATCTGTTCACGCTCCAGTTGCTGGTGTGTTTTCAATCTGGAGATAGAAAATCTTGTAAGGGATAGAGTTTCACATTTTGTTTGGATCTCCAGGAATCTCAGAGCTGATATTTCAAGCCACACTGAACAATGGCAAAATGCCGTGTGCAGTGCATTTTCTGTGAGCTAACTTTTATTTTCCCTCAGAAATTCATGAGTCCACATTGATACAAAAAAGAGTAACTGAGGAGGAGAAAAAGCTCTTCCTCAACACAGAATAAGTTTAGAAGGAGTAGTGGGATGGCAATGATTACCATTTGGCTATTGTGTTTACTAAATCTGGTGGATAAATGTTGACCAAGCATGAAAGATCTTCACATAGCTTCATTGCACTCTTTGTGAGTTCTTCTTTGAGAGGTGATAACTTTACAAAAGAGCAATCTAGCAGATGCCATGTCACCCAGGTAAAGTCAGCTGACTTGAGAAGGGCTCACAGACACTCCCACTAGAGTCACATCCTCCATCTTGTCCACATAAACTTCTAAAGTGTCAAGTTAGAAGTGCAGTTGTGGCAGGGGCTTTCAGGAGAAATGCTCCTTCAGAAAGCAGCAGAGTACATGCAAAACAAACTCCGATCTTAATTATTATGCAGTGTGGGTGAAGCACAGCTGTGTGTACCCTGTGACCAAAGTCCCAGCAGGACAGTGTCTGCTTTTGCCAGCAGCCTGATGTGCAGGAAACAACCACTGCTCCATGCTTGTGTTAGCCTGACTGGTTTTCTAGTTTTTCTTAGTAGAAGTCTATCAAAGAAAACCCTGTATAATGCTTTAGGTACTGTGTATGTCAAGGGCCAAGGTCTGTCCATGGGGAGCCATGGAAACAGCCTTGTCTCCCAGGAATGTAAACATTGGTCCAAGGGCTTGTCTCTCCAAGGTTCTGCTTAGTCCAGCTCAGCCAAAAGTCAGCTCTGCCACCAAAGAGGGAGGGTATGAACTCCACGGTCTTTGAGATCCATCTTCTGTCATTAGTGTCACCAGAGATGACCACAGTATCAGACTGATAGTGTTTGGGGGGGGTGCAGTTCTTTACTGTTCCCTAGCATATAACTCATAAAATCTCTGGAATTTCAAAAGGATGTCTTTGTATGCTAATGAGGTAACTGCCAGCTGGCAGCCCCTAAGTAACTTCAGGCTGAGCACTGTCAGAAGGATGGAACTGCCAGCCTCCAAGGAAGAGGGAAGGGTGAAGGTGAAATTGATCACCGGTAGCTAATACCTACGCACTGAAGCCTTCATAACAATGTAGACAGCTTTGAAGGCTTCAAGACAGAGCCATATGGGGGTTCCTGGAGAGTGACATGTCTTGAGGGGGCGTGGAAGGTCCATGCCCCTTTCCCCGTGCATTGCGTTATGAACTTCTTCATCGGTCCTGGGTAATACCCTTTATAATGTCAGCAGACAAATTTCCCTCCATTCTGGGAGCTGCTCTAGTGAATTTGTAGGAATACCAATTTGTAATTGGTTGCTGAGCAACAGCCTTATACTTGACATCTGCGGGTGATGGGGAAGTCTTGGATCAGATGCTTCTACCAAGCAGATAATGTGAGAAACGAACGGGATTAGAGGCAGGACCTGGAATCTACTGAGGGATTGCTTGCTGGCAAACAAAAAACTCCACACCCTTGGAAATCACAAGCCTAATGATTGCTGCAGTGTGAAAGCACAAATCAGTTTGTTTGTCTAAAGCACCCAAAGCTAAAAAATACTTTGAGATAAATCTAACAAGTATGCAAGAGTTCTATGCTGAAATTGGAAAGCATTAATAAGAGAAAGTTAAGGCAAAATAAACAAGGTGGTGTACCATGTTCATAGAACAGACTCAGTATTAGAGAAAAGTCAGCTCCGCCCCATAAATGCCTGAGGCAGGTGGAGAGCTGGCCCTGAGGTCATAAGGCAGGAGAGCTGCTCTGCCCCCCCCCAGCTGTACACTCTGCACCTCCTGTGGGCAACACAATAGAACCAACCCCATTGGCGGAGGTATGGGTGAGGCAGCCCTGAAGTTGTGAGCATCGGAGAGGTGTTCCCATTAATTATCTGTCATCTGGCAGTACGAGCAACACCTGAGACAGATGGGAGCGCTGTCCCTGAGGTCCTAAGAGCAGGAAAACTGTCCCTGCCCCTCGTCAGCTGCAGCACTCGGGAGATGGTCACCAAGCCACACCTGGGCAACACAGTAGAGCCGGCCCTGAAGGTGTAGGTGTGGGAGAACCGACCCTGAGGACACGAAAGCAAGAGAACTGGCCCCGCCCCTTGCTCATCCATACAGGGGGTTAACTAGCCAGGGCAATCCTGGAGAACTCATCCTGGTGGTGAGGTGTAGGGAGCAATCTTAGGTACCTGTAGCACTGGCCACACCCCTCTGGGCATGGTCACAGGTATGTAGAAGATGGGGGGAGAGGGGAGGGAGAGGATAAAGAACTGAGAGGAAGGGGGGACTTGCTCTCTCTTGGGGTTCCAGTCAGGTCTCAGAGAGCAGCAGAGCGCTGACCTTGGGTTCTTGGCATCTCATGTAAGTGATTTCTCCCTAATAAAATATCATATGACATCCCTATTCTCTGTAGGTTAATCTTCCTCAACAGTAAGGACAAGGGAGAGTTGGAAGACTGACCAACCCTGCCACTACCCACGTCCAGAACCAGGGTTATGAGTTGACCTACCCTAACATCTACCCCATCTGTGATCTGTTGGAGCTCATGAAGGGATCAGTCCTACAGACCAAAAGCTGCAGGATTTCCATGACACAGGACTACAGCAGGATAACCAAAAGGAGTTCCAGTGAGGACCAGCATCACTAGTGTAGCAGAAACCAGAGGCCTAGAAGCAGACCAATGACTTTCTGCAATGAACACATGCAAGTAATGACATATGGACACAGGGGTTTACTGTGTGACACACTGAGTCTCACCACAGCTTCCATGACAAGATTGATTTTTCCTTCTCTTTTTTCATCTTTTTTTCTCTTAGACTTTATTTTATTTTAGGGAGGAGGTTGCAAGGGAAGAGGGTGAATACGAAGGGACAGGGAATTGAATGGTTTGGAGATGCATGATGTGAAAGCCACAAAGAATAAATGAAAAGAAAGAAAGAAAGGTCAGTTCTCCCCCGATATAGACTGTGAGCAGATGAACAGCAAAAGAATGTAGATAGCAAATAAACATATAAAAAGTTGCTCAAACTGACTCCTCTTCCAGAGGTCCTGAGTTCAATTCCCAGCAACCACATGGTGGATCACAACCATCTGTAAGGAGATCTGGTGCCCTCTTCTGGCTTGCAGGCAGAACACTGTATACTTAATAATAAATAAATAAATAAATGTTTTAAAAGTTGCTCAACAGGCTGGAGCAACTCCAGCTCAATGATTAAAGTACTGGTTGCTCTTGCAGAGGACCTGGGTTTGATTCCCAGCACCACACGGTGGCTCACAACCATATGTAACTCCAATTTCAGGGAATCTGACACTTTTTTCCGCCCTCTGTGGACACCAGGCATACACATGGTACACACACACAGACAGAGGCAAAACACCCACACACATAAAAAAATAATAAATACATTGAAGCTGCTCAGTTGGCAGGGGGCTTTTGAATCCTCAAAGACTGTCAGGAGAAACTACAAACCCAGACTTCCCAATCTAGATGGAATGAAAAGCTTGAAGAAAAAGGTGTTTCGGTTTGCTATAGTAGCAAAATCCCACTAGGAGATTTACTGGACCAATCTATATTTGCCACCTTCCAAAGGGACAGTGTCATGTTGGGTTTTGGGTTAAGACAACTAGAGTGACCTATAATTAGACTGGATATGATGGCCAAGTCACTTCTCCAAGTCCATGCCTCAGCTCCCAGGTTTGCTATTGAATGGTTTTCGGTTTGCTCTCGATGGGGGCAAGGTACTTGCAAACAGTCCTGTTTATTTTGAAGGTGACCCTTCAGAGACGTGTGCTGTTTCCTATCTGACTGATGATGCAGCTGCCTGAACAGTCATTTGATGCTGCTGATGCTGGTATTGGTGGGGACAGTGAGAAGGCAGGAGAGGAGGGGCTTTCTGGCTGCAGCACGCACGCAAGGAGCCTGGCAGCAGGACAGGTCTACACCTGCCTTGCTGGGCATCCTCACTTCTTCAGGAAACTGAAGTGGGGAAGCTGTAGAAGGCCAGATCAGGACAGTGTGAGCCTCCTTCTGAGGCAGCCTAGACAGTAGGCTTACTCACCATTAGAAGAATCCTTTCTGCCAGGGAGAGACACGGTTTGGTGCCAAGACTTCCAAGTACATGGAGATGTTTGTCCAGCTGTCACACTGGGCACAGTGAACACATCACTTCAGTAAGCTGGTATCTTCCAGCATCATCAGGGTACCAGACAGGACTGAGCCAAATCAGACTTCTCCCAATACCTCAAACACTGAACACATTGTCCTGTGTGTGGCACTGGGAATGGGGATGGCATAGCACTGCAGGACTGACCAATATGTCAAGTGCTTTTTGCCTCCATTGCAAAGTGTGGTTTGAATGAGAATAATCCCATAGACTCCTATCTTTTGGGGGAGGTTTTTCCCCCAGATGTGCCCAGATCCAGGCTTGGGGACCCAGCTAGACTCTCTCTTCGGATGGTTAGCACCTCACGTATGTCATCTTGAATCTTCCCACAATCCACAGGGACTGGACAGACAGTTTTTAGTCAACAAAACCATACAACCCGGCATCTTGTCTTGAAAAAGAAAAACCAAAACCAAACAAAAGTCCACACTATTCCCAGTTAACTCTCTCTCTCTTATGCTGTGGATCAGTTTGGGATGTAAGCTCTCAGCTACTGCTTTAGTGCCGGGCCTGCCTGCTGCCATGTTTCCCGCCATAATGGTCATGGACTTACCCTCTGAAATGTGACCCCAAATATACTCTTTCTTGCTTTGACCCTGGTGTCTTTACAGCAATAGAAAAGTAAGAAAGATGCACCTTTACGTTGTTTTCACAGGCATTTGTCAAAGCAGGGAGAAGCTGACTAGCATACCAATCTTTCACTGTAATTCACTCAACCCCACAAACAGCCAGAGAACAGTCTCTTTCCTCCTTGGTAGCCGTGGCCAATGGCTTCACTCAGATAAGGAGACAAAAGAAGATACGGTGTGTGATCCTTCTTGGACACCTGCAGTGGTGGCTCACAGCTGTGATTTCCTCCACTATGTAGCATGGAGCAGGGATGTGCTGTCTAAATATACAATCTCCATGTCAGAGCATGGGGTTGGGAACCACAGTATAGGAAAGACATAGCCTTAGGAGATCCATGAGCGGCTGGAAGAACAGGTCAGTTAGTAGATGAATCTGAAGGCTTTCCAGACAGAAGTGAAAATGAACTTCTAATTTTTTTCTTCTTTTTCTGTCTTTGTGCACATGTGTGTGCCTGCAATATGGAGGCCAGAAGTTGACATTGGGTGTCTTCCACTATTGAGCTCCACCGTATCTTTTGAGACACTGTCTCTCACTGAACCCAGAGTTCATTGATTGACTAGACTGGCTGCCCATTGAGCTCTGGGGATATTTCTATCACTGCCCATGCCCCGCCCCCCAGTCCTAGATCACCTAAGACCATCAGAAAACACAGATATTTATACTACAATTCATAAGTATAGCAAAATTAGTTATGAAGTAGCAACAAAAATAATTTTATGGTTAGGGGTCACCACAGCATGAAGAACTGTGTTAAAGGGTTGCAACATTAGAAGGTTGAGAACCACTGCTATAGATCATAAAGTAGATCTTAAAAGTCAGGAGCTGCAGCTCTGAACCATAGAGCTTACTACTGTGTGCCAGCCCCTTGTGTCAAGGGTTCTAAATATAAGGATTGGACCACCTGGGGAATACACACACACACACACACACACACACACACACACACACACACACACAGCACACAGCATGGACAGACTATCTTCCTGTCATTATTACCCAAACAATATAACAACTGTTCACATAAGTGCGCATCACAGTAAGTATCATGAGTAATCCTGAGGTGATTGAAGTATAAAAAGAATGTGTGAAGTTTACCTGCAAATATCACACTACAGTATTTTCAACCTATGTATCTAAGGACTGTGGCATCTAGCCAAAGTCTAAGAACCAGCCTCATGCAGCCACTTGGGGATGATGCACTGTTGTTATTCCTTCCTGGAACTTTGCTCAATGATACTCAAGAAAAGTAGGCACAGCTGAACATCTTTATATTTATATAGGCTTTATATTGCTGTGAAGAGACACCATGACCACGACAACTCCTATAAAGGAAAACATTTAATTGGGACTGGCTTAAAGTTTCAGAGGTTTAGTTCATCATCTTCACAGCAGTGTATAGGTAGACATGGTGCCGGAGGGGCTAAGAATTTTACACCTTGATCCATGGGCAACAGGAAGTGAACTGTTTACCACACTGAGCATAGCTTGAACATAGGAGACCTTGAAGTCCAGCCCCATAGTGACACACTTCCTCCAGCAAGGCTACACCTACTCCAACAAAACCACACCTCCTACTAGTGTCTCTTCTTATGGAGGCCATTTTCTTTCAAACCACCACACAGAGGAAGACTATGTTTCCTATGAAGGTATATGGTAAAAGGACTACTTTTAGGAAAGGAAGGACAGTGTCATTTCTGGTTGGAAAGAACACATGTGCGCTTATACACACAGGCACACAAATACACATGCACATATGTACATATGTACATACTCAGAAAGAAGTTATCAGAGAAAAGTGATCAATTCAAGAAATTTATAATGAAAGTTTCTCAAGAATACATGTGATTTTACAAGGTCATTCGTCATAGCACCAGGCCCAAAGTTCCATGATAGAAAACTGTCAAGTAACAAATACTCCAGGGGGGTTCCCACAGGTATAAATTATGCAAATATCCATTTATATCTTCATTTACAACAATCAATAAATAAGAGCGTACATTCACACAGCATATTTTTACACAAAGATCCTTTTTTATATAAAGCTATAGCTATGCATACTAAATAGACAAAATAATCCTTGTACCACAAAATAACATTTTGCTTTTGTCCTCAACAGTTCTGCAACTTTCAAGCACAAGCCATGAGGTTTTCTGCCACACCATGAAAAAAATGTTAATTCTGTTAACTCTATCCCAGGCCCTAAAAGAACAGAACACTCATCCCCATCCAAGGGGTGTTCAAGACAGAACACCCTACTGTCTTGAGGCTTCACAACCTGTCCCAACATTGCTTTGGAGGGAGTAACATCTTCCTATTTGTCTTTGGCCGGTATCATCAGCATAAAAGTAAATAATGCAGGTAATATTGTAAGGTCCAATTTCAAGGGCAGAAGGGAGGTGCCCCTCACTGTAGAGCCCATTCTCTCAACTGCACCCTCCTCAGGGATGCTCTACACAGCTCCCTTTGCTAGTGTAAGAGGAAAAGGCTGGGAGGGGTGGAAAGATCCAGGCAGTTGCCTATAGCTAATTTTTCCTACAGCTAAATTCTTGAATTTCAAAGAAATTCCTACTGGGACACTGTCTAGGGTGCTGACTTAGAGCTCCCAGGTTCTACTTCAAGCCTTGTAACAGTCAGGCCACCCCTGGCTTACCAACCCATCCCCACCTCCAAGGCACCTTTTTCAGACATCGAACCTGATGCAAACTCTTAGGTTTTGGCAGTTCATTCATTTACACAAGTGTATTTATTAAGGGAATGGGCTACATACAGAGATGAAAAACAAACAAAAAGACCTTGCTCAGCCAGGAGTTTTAAACCTTGACAGGACTTTGTGGTCCTCCAACCTTTCACCAGAGAGGTAAGTAAGTGCATTATCAAAGGGGTCCTTGGCTGAGCCAGGGTGTGGTTCCCAGGCCAGCGATAGCTTCTACTTGGGAACTCCCCAACTTTCCTTTAAAACATGTCTCACATGGCATTCAAGAACACAATGGCTTCTCTTCCCACACAGCCTCGAAGTCTTGGTTCCTACTTTTGCCGTGCTGGAAAAAAAAGCATTCGCTGTCAGTCGCAAATGAAACACGCCCGCGACTAAATGAGATTCTTGCATTTCCTTTTTTTAATAATGCAAAAATTCTATGACTTTTAAACTTAAAGAAACAATGATTCTCATGTAAGAGGATGATTATAACTTTATCCAAGGAATTCATGGTGTCTCCCCTGCCCCTTCTAATGCTTGCAAAGGTTTATTTGGGGGGCTTGAGAACTGTCTCAGGGATTCTCAGTGCTGGCTGCTCTTGCTGACGACCTGGGTTTGGTTCTCAGCACCCACATGGTGGTCCCAAACCATCTGTAACTCCAGCTACAGGAGACCCAACACCCTACCCTGGCCTCCACGGGCACTGCACACATAGTATAAATACATATATATGGGCAAAACATTCGCACACATAACATAAAATAAAATCTTTAAAGTT